TGCATATGGCCTCTTAAGACCTTCATGTTGCCCAGAGGATGAAGCCTAAAGTATTTAGTTATCCACCATGAGGTCGACAGTTTTGTTTTTTAGTGAAATATCACAACAAAAGGATAGATTTTCATGAGACTTGGTCCTTTTATTTCTCAACATCTATACCATGGACTAGCTTTCAGACATTCATGTTCCCCAGAGGATGGATCTTGAAGACTTATCCCCTGACTGTTCCTCTAACACCACTATGAGGGTGACATTTGCATCTCGAACACTCTCAGATGACTTTCATGTTCCCTCTCAGGATGAATTGTTACAACACAGGCGATCCCTCAACTTATCTTGCAGCGCCAAGATCAGGTCGGCACATTTAACTCTTCGAGTATGTTGGTTCGTGACCAAATATCTGCAAAATGAATGACATCCCCATCAGTCTAAGCTGTGGAAATGTGAGCATGCTAACATGCTAAACACCTACTAAAGTATGTGAGCGTTCCTAAATTCAGCCTCACAGTGCTGCTAGCGTGGCTGTAGAGTCTTTTGTTCAAACTCTCTTTATCTTTTTTTGTAATACTTGAACTACTTGTTACAAGGGAGGCCAATACAGATGTACTCTACATGTGCTCTATCAGAAAATTAAGAAATATTTAATTGATTCCTCGCAGAGAAATTTGATTATATTACATTTTTGAATAGAAATGTATAAAAAAAACAAGAGATATTATAAGAAAAACAGAAAATAAGACATGTCAAAATATGTGTACTACAATATAAAAGAACATGAATACATAAATAAATGATTTTGCGGAGAAATGGATCCATGAATAATAAATAAGATCATTCAAATGAAAGGAGTAGGAGAGAATAATGTTTGGATTATGTTGTCATGTTTCCTCAACAGACTTTTTGCATAACCACTCTCTGACAGTGATATGAAAAGTATCAGGGTTGTGTCCTGGTTCGAATATGTGCTACACCGCGAGGTCATTAGCCTTCAGCTTCTTTCAGGCAGCTATCTCTGGTCCCACATTGACCTGCTTGTTTATTACCCAATAAACCTGACGAGAGAGCAACCAGAGATAGCAACACTGAATTAATTACTGTTTCTCTGTGCGAGCAAAGGCTGAGCAGGAAGCTACACTGGACTGCAGCCACGTAGCTGAGTGATTCAACCTGCCCATCCTTCAGAAAACAAACAAAATGAGTCTCAAATGATGTCGCACATTTGCATTTTCCTCTCAGAATCACCAGCAGACATATTACATACTGTAACCCACAGATCATCACAAGCGCTTTCTTCAAACAACATCATTGAAAAAGCCTCTAGAGGGTGAACTATTTATAATTCTGATGTGATTTCACCAAGTGGTTGTCAGACAGTTGGTTGCAAGAGTCTGTGCACGTTCTTAACAGTTTTCCTCACCACATGTTTTTATAAACGAGGAAGCTGAGACGCCTCGCGCTTCTCTGCACTTTCACAGCACTTTCACTCTCCCCCTGCAAGGTGAGCCTTTTCCTTTCTCTTCTCTCTCATCTTTACATGTTGTTCAGCCATGTTTCTGTGTCTTAACGATATGTCAGCCGTCCAAACTCTGAGAAAGTAGACATTGAGTTGTGGGTTTCATTGTCTAACTTCCTAGTCTTCGTTGAATTGAGTACAATCATGAGAACAAAATGCGAGGGTACACCGTAAAGAAGGAGCAGAAGGAAGTTAAAATAAGCAAGAATAAATAGAGATAAATTAATTTATAAAATAGTCATAAAACAATAGAATATAATTAAATAAAGACAATAAAGGCAATTAATTAAAGCTTTCTTATTAGTGCAAAATGTCTTAATTTTTATATATTTTTGCTTCAAACTGAGGGATTGTTGTACTTTAGAGAAAGAAAGAAAAATAATCAGGATGCTCAGAGAGAAACTCCAAAAACAGAACTGATCAATAGGGTTCTTGTGATGAGAAAACATTTAAAATAATGTATAAAAATATGTATTATATGGAAGCCCTAAAGGGCCATGCATGTATTCCTATATGTGTAGAAGTCAAATATACCATCCATGGCGAGGAATTATTGAGCAATGTGTTTTTACAGTACCTCAAATATATGAAAAGATTCCACTTGGAGGTACAAATATGGAACTTTTGTTCTGGCATTTCTTCACATTGGTGCAGTAAAATGCTTGATATTAAGTATGTTTTTTATTCATCATGGTTGCATGAAACACTTTAATGTAACATATTTGATTTTAAATGTAGGTTTGAATTATAGCTTACTGTTTTGAAAACCGGAAGGGAATACACTGTAAATTTTTTAGGGCTTCCGTAGTATTAAAAGATTAAATTTAGGACCTTTTTTTTTGGTTGTAGTTTTGTTGTTATTTTTGCTTGTTTGTTCTATTTTGAACGATGACACAAATGCCCCACAGGTCTCATGTTGCAGTGAGTAAACACGCCACAATCCCTTTTAATCTGATTGACTTTATTTCACTTTAATCTCATGACCTCACTGGTCAAAGTTGTCCTCTGACCCTTGGAATTCAGAGACCATAAACAGCTCATAACAGTGAGTGACAGACAAGGAGCCATGTGTCGTCTCACATTGGGGGGGGGGGTTAATTTTATCTTTTGGCACTTCCGAGTGTCCGACACCTGTGCTGCAAAGGAAAATGACAGTGAATAGGGACTGTTTGCATACCTCTGCCGAAGGTCAACGAGGGGTGACTTGATCACTGCGTGCCATGCAGAGCTGTGCGAATGTCTTAGTGCAAGGATGTGGACTGGATGTCATGTTGTTCTCGTGCAGAACGGAGGACAGAAAGTTCCGTTTAAGGCTCAAGAAAGTATCTGAGCTGTAACGACAGCCTTCAGGGGGGGCTGTAACACACTGGATTGTCAGTTATCCAGATGGTGGGTTTGTAAAAGCTCAGCCCTCTGTGGCAGCGCATGCATCATCCAAATGTCACCCTTTTCTTTTAGGCTGAAATACTTCAAGTTGAAGTCACTGAGTACAACCACAGTGGAAATATGTCAACGAAATACAAGACCAACAATGAACAAAGGAGTTCAAAAAATAGATTAAAAAGAAGGAGAAACACAAGAAGCATCAAACTTGGACATAATAATAATGATAAAAAATATTATATATAATATATTCAAATATTAATGCTGTCTTGTATGTAAATTAGCTGTATTTTGTCACTTATGCAAACAAATTATGACGTTGACACTAAATACTGCCCTCACAAATACACAGTATCCTTAAGACAGTGGATATTACAGGATTATATAGCATATTATACTTACACTATATGTATTGGCTCTTTGTTGACTCATTTTATACACTGACATATTGACTGAGCTTGAGGGAGATTAAAAAGTAATGAGGAAACCGTTTCAGACTCTCATAAAAGAATAAAGTAAATATCATAAAGGAAGACTGAGACCGCGCGCCTGTTTGTTGAGGATCAGTTTCCTCGTCACCATGTGGGATTTAAAAGTTCCCTGAGGTCAACAGGTGGTCCTCAACCCAACAGTCAGACACATTTTGCCGTAATTCAGTTTGTGTTCCTCAGCTCTGAGTAGACACTGACATACAATTCATCTCACAGGAGGCAATCTCCTGAAGGCGAATCCAACCAGCAGCAGATTCTTACAACCCTAACAGGAATGAAGTCTTTGTGATAGATCTGTTTTTCATTTTACAACCGACTTTAACATCTCTAATAGACAACAACTGTCTGCGAGATGAGACAGAACATAACTTTAGATAACTAACCAAGTGTATTTGTGTTTGTGCCGAGGCAACAAGGCCCCCGAGTGGCGTTCAGGGAGGAATCTGTGTCTGTGATAGGAGGCGTTATGAGGCTTTTAGTCTGATAAAAATAGTGCACAGCACTCCAAACAGGCCCTATGACACTAACAGACAGCTGCTTGTTTTTTTTTTTTTTTTGGGGGGGGGCGTGAACATCTACCACCACAGAATGAACAAAAAAAAAAAAAAAAGATTTCTAAAGCTAGGAAAGGTCATGAGGTTGTAAACAGCTGCAGATAAAAGGTATTTGTGTCAATGATGTAATTAACCAAAGAACAAGCAGGGGCCTAAGATCACTCCCTTTATCTATCTATCTATCTATCTATCTATCTATCTATCTATCTATCTATCTATCTATCTAGAAGAATATATGCCACTAATATACACGATACAATACCAGCTGACACGATAGGGGCCTTAAGGTGGGTCACATTTTGTTCATGAAGGAGAACTGGTAATAAAAATACAAATTTTGCATTTCTTTCCGTAACAGGAAGTCGGTGCTGCAATGCAGATCTTACACAAAATAGGGAACTATCAAAGGAAACAGACATACACGGCAGCTACACTAAATAAATAAAATGCTAATAAAATTACTGGATTGCAAGAACTCAATAATAAAGTGAGTCCGTTGGCTTTCCAATGATAGAAATAGATTTTGCTGTAAAATAATAATAGTCACTTTAAGAACAAACGGTCTGCTTTGTGATATATATGAATTATATAGAAATATATGCTGATTTGATTGATTGTGGCACATTAGTAAAGCAATGAATATAAATATCTGAAGGTGGCATTAGAATACATGTCTTTTCTCATTAAACTTAAATGTAAAATGTGCTCTTTTTTTTAAAAACCATGTTATTTTTTAATTAAATTAATGTAGATAATAAGATAATAAATATTTTTATACTGTGTGTTAACTGGTGCATAGCTCTAAAGTCCTAAAGGAACTTATTTGTGTTTACTTTAGAGGAGAACAGAGGGTTCATAGGTTTTACCCCCGGGCCGATTAATCCAAGATTTGCTCCTGAGCCACAGGTGGTGCAACAAGAAGAAAAACACCGCACTAGATAATGAGCTCCACTACATTTATACCCCCAGTGGCACAAAACACACACACACACACACACACACACACACACACACACACACACACACACACACACGCAGGAAATTTGACCCTTTTTTTTTTTTTTTCTCCCCGGGGACAAAATCACGCAAAGTCTCGCGTGATTTCCAGAGTAGCGCTCGAATGTAGCATCGTGAGCTAACACTTTCTCTCGACCGTTAGCTGCCGTTAAATCTCAATGCCTCCGAAAACACACGTTTAGCGCGGTGTACTGACACCGAGGGGCACCTCCGGGTGTATATCTGATGGGGAGCGGCCCGGTAATCCCGACACCCGGGCCTCTTCTGAAGGCGCGAGTTGCGTCCGGTAACGGTTGCTAACCGCTAAGCTAACCGCTAAGCTAACGTCGCTAGGTTGCTACATCCGCTTCCACTCCGCTCCGCACAGCAACCAGGAAGGAGGGAGCAGACGAGCAGGCGAGCTTGGCCCTCAAATCGGTTGCTCCACTTCTGCGGACTATTAATTCATAAAAAAAAAAAGGAAAAAAAAAGGAGCCTCGTCCGTGTGTTTTGTGAAAACGAGGAGCAGGTAATTACAACTTTGTGAGCGTCGTTTTGTAAGCGGATAGGTTGGAAGTTAGCTGCGGCTCTGCTAATGGTGAAGAGATTGAGGTTGCCGTTCACGTCCGTGCTTTCAGGAGCATTATCCATAACTCTGATCAGTTTTATTGGACTTTTATTCGCCTACAGTGTTGTGTGTCCTCGCTGAAGCGTCACTAACTCAATATTTGTGGCATTGTTTTAGTCTGTTATAACGTTTTCTGTGTATGTGTAACTCCAGCGGCGGCTGGTCTCTGCAGTGCTTATTATATTATGTTGTCTGTTTGGCACATAATGATGGTTATTAACGAGCAAACTGACCATTAATAGTGATAATAATAACGATAATAGCTACTATATGATGAGAACAGAACATATGAGACATTAAGCAGCGTGCTAGAATCAATAGATATTAAGAAATAATGTTAAGAAGTGGTTTAAAAGATGTTAGACTCAGGATCTCTTGCACTGACATGTATGGAAATGTATTTGTCCAAGTGAGGGTGAATGATATTAGGATTATATATTAAACAGCTATCTGTATTTTCAACATGTCTCACTATTATAATACTACATTTTAAGACCTTGACCTCAGTATCTCTAAGACTTGATTTGCCTTTTGACTTAAGAAACTCATAATTAAACCAGTTTCTGTCCCTTCTGGATATTTCCCCCTCCACAGTTTGTATAATGTGTTTGTTTTCCATTTGATGGGCAACGCTCTGTTTCACATCAACCCACAAAACCAGCCCGGCTACCACAACTAGAGCCCAGTCGTGCATCAAACTACACCAGAACACACAGTATGTATTCATGTATGTATGTTTAGTGGATGCTAGAGACACAGGTGTAGAAGTATAAAGCATATATTTACATTTCACTGCCTGTGCCTGTTAATAGTACTCGCTTGCTGGGCGTATAGCTGCACAGACCGCACCAGCACCGCTCTGATGAAATGGAAAAACTTGAAATTATTCGTGTAGAGTTTCACTTCCTGTTGGGTTTTGACGCCGGAGGGAGAGCTGGGTTTTTGGTAGCATACAGTAGATAATGTAACAAAAAGTCAGTCTGTCTGATGCACCTCCCTGTAATTATCATTCAGGGCATACGTGAAGTCTGCAGGGCCTTTTTCCCACAAAAGAACAGAATCAGAGATGATGCTGTGAATACAAACTATTATAAAGTGTGTGAAGCAGGTTGAACTAACACAGTAAAAACCTGCTTTTTGAGCCTTTTAGACATACAAACTGGTAATTCTACATTTAAAATGTTAAGCATGGAGACCTAGTTTCCCTAGTTTAACAAAGTGTTTTACATACCTAACAAACAGGGAGACCTTGGCAAGCAAAGAGGCATTGCTTATCTTAATTATGTGTATTCTAAGTTTGAGCTTCAAGGGCCTTTTTGTCCCCCCAGATTGTCCTAGGTGATCAATAAAACACTCGAGTGTCCTGCTTTAGATTTGGACGAACAAGGGGAAACCCTGTAAGAACACGTAGCAACCATTGTTTGGCACATAGCAACTGTTGTCCCTTCAAACATGACAGAAAAAACGGGCAATCCTCAACATTCAGTGAAAAACCCCCGTGGTGCATTTCATTAGGATCTCAAAGGGAATCTTGAATAAAATGCAAGCGCTTCAGACTCAGACTTAACCACTGGAGTAGCAGATTGTAGCAGACGTCATCGGTACGCGGGACGCTGCCTTTTTCATCTTTAAGAAGTCCCTGTAGTAGTAAAAGCAATCTTCCTTGCACGACCGCACTGAAGCAGCACTACCTGCTCCGGGGCTGCTGCTTTGTGAGAGACTCTGGTGGTCTGATCTCCATTTCTGCTGAAGAGACGCATAAAGAGAAACAAACAGTTTGAGGCATTATTTGAGCATCTGGTAAATAGGGAGCAAGATTCAGCTGAATTTTAGTCGGTATAATTGTAAATGTAATATTCATCTTTTCTCTTGTGGTAGAAGCTAACATAGATAGAGAAAATAAAGTTCAGCATCCTGAAGGTTTGGGAGGAAATAAGCGATGGCGTGTTCCCTTTAACGTTTCACCTCTTAAGTTGTCGTTTTCAGTCAGTGTTGATTCACCAGTTAGCCTGAGGGGTCAAAGTCACTCGACCGAAGCACTGTTTGTTTACCTCGGAGTACGTTTATCTAAATAATTTACAGAATGATGTAATGCAGCAGTGATCTAGTTGCTCAGTGGATGATATCTAGTGTTGGATATTTGTTTGGTCCCTTTTATGCTCATAGGTTTGTTTGTTTTTGGTCGTCCTTAAAGTCTCAGTGTACTTTAAAATGATGATTTTCTCTAACATTATAATCAGAGCATGGGGATACACTTGTGTGACTACTATATGTGTCCCCCTTTTTAGGACAGTATCTTGAATCTTTATATCTTTATATATAGGCAGCAGCAGTAGAGTGATGATAGGAAATGAGAGAGACGCAAGAAAGGTTGAGATTAGAAGCGGGGATGTTGCGGTTCATCACCCTTAATTCACGGGGGGGGAAGGGCGCCCCAGTAAAGGTATCTTGAGTTTTACACAATCACTGATGAGTCAGTTTTCTCACAATCGGCAGAAATTAACAAATAAAGTTTCCCACAGAACTGGTTGTGGAGCTTTAAACTAAATTTTGTTGCAAAGATGACATATTCTCAGAAGCTTATTTTGTGTTTTGTTTGTATCCCATCCTTGGACAGCTGCACTCTTCTTATTATTATATTATAATTGTGTCTGGTTTTACTCCTCTTGAGCCTTCATATCGTGCTGCACAGAAGCTCAACCTGTCTCCCGATGCTCCCGGCTCATGTTTACACGCCGCCCCTGCTGTCTGTTCCAGTTTTAAAGCTAACCCGCTGGCCCTCCGTACGTTATCACTGCTTTGGTTTTGATATATTTTTCTACGACTGTTCAAGGTCATGTGGGGCTTTCAGGGCTGTTGATGGCAGGTTTGAAAGCAGCTAGGTGCAGGGGCCTTGATGACGGGCGACAGGGTGTCATGTAAGCTGTCCAGTCCCAGCCTGTCAGCAGGTCTGGAAATATGTAGCTGTACAGTCGTGATAAATGGAGGATTTGTTTGAATTAAATTCGATGTTTTTTTTTTTTTTTTTTTTAAATAATCTATAAAATACACTTGTTGTTGTTTTTTTTTTTTTAAAGGAAAAGAATATCACTACTGGCCTAAGTGCAAAGATGTCAAAGGCTCCGGATTCTCCTGCTCGGTCCCGCTCCAGATCGAGGTCCAGATCCAGATCTTACTCCAGATCACCATCTAGAAGCCGTTCCAGATCAAGATCCAGAAAACGTCGCTATAGGTAAATCCAGTGTCACTGTCTTTTTCTTTGGGGTATGTGGTGAATATATGAATATATAGGTTTGACTTTGAATGATCATTTTTATCAAATAAGTTTTGAAAGGTAATTTTGTGCAGTGATTAAAGAGCAGCTACAAGGAGTTGGTGGGCACGCCAGTTCCTAAAAAACTTGTTCATAAATATGTTTTATCAGTGTGACAAATTTTTATTAGTTGATAAACATCAATATACATGACAGTATACGTAGTACATTTATTAACCATTCACTTTAAGCCAACCAAATGGAACTGAAGAACAAAACTGTTTTATTATTATTTATTTTTTAAGATTAATTAACGGAATATTGGATTGACTTTAAATAATTATTCAGATAATTTATACAGCTCATGATGCAAATGCACCTTGCAAAATATTAAAATTAGGGGTATTAATGTTAATAGACATTCAAATTCAGTGCAGCTGTTTAATAAGACCAAGGTCAAAACTATTAGTATTTAAAGACTTTCTCTTGCATTGATGACTATTATATTTCCTTCCGTTTTGTTGTCTTCATATAGAGGCTGTGGTTTGTTTGTGAGATAACACAAACATCAGCTGAGTAAACTGATATACTATTATCTGTCTGGCTTTGTAGTAGGACGGTGCAAAACAACAAGAAAATGACCAGTTCATGTTTCAGTTTTGTGTTTACTCACCATTTACTTCATTGCGACAGTGAAACAGCTCTGAAGGCCAATGCAGAGATAACTTTTTAGAATGAAGGCATATTTTTAAATCCAGTCGACTTTACACAAGATTTAATTGTTTTGAATGGATGGCATTTAAGTGAGTTACCAGATATTTGATCTTGTGATATATATCCGTATTCAGGGTTTCTTTCAGTTAACTCTAGTTGAACTTAAAGGTAAGGTGAGTTGGTTACCTAATGTTTTGTTTCTGGGCTCCACTCGTTTTCGGTTTGCCTTCAATTTGCATAAATGTTTTCATGTGTGGGGAAAATGCCTCAAGCAAATTAGCTCAGCTTCATTCTTGTTAGGAATCTCATGTCCTCATTTGTGATCTGTGTTACATTGTTAAGATGTCAACACCCGATACAGTGCTTCATTTATTTCATGTTAGTTTTAAAATGATCTAAACGAGTGAGTGCTTCCCTTGTTTTCGGTCCTTATTTCAGTTTGAAGCTCAAAGTTTAAACACTTTGAGTGAGTTGATTTGATCCCTTTTAAAGAGTATTGCTTCACTGCGTGTCAATGATTGTCAAAGAAAAATAGAATGGAGAGCGAGTACTCTTGGCCTTGCTGTATCTCCCTCCCCCTTTACTGCCTCCTCCCTCTGGGGATTAGAGCAGGTTGTGTCCTGGGTGTACCCTTTGTCCAACACATACATTAAGGCGACACCGGCTGTCCTGCTTGTGGGAGTACACTGAATTTTATTTGCACTGCATCATAGTCTGATCTGTTACAATGAAAAAGTGTGAGGGGTAAGCAGAGAAATTACAATTTTGTGTTGGCATGTACTTGCAAACTTGATGTTTATGTCTTTGGTCAGGACAGGTGCAGTGTTTGTGTAACTTACATGCTGCTTTACATGTCTATTATCATATAATTTTGTTTTGTAACATGTTGGCACACTGGAAATTACTTGTAGTCTTTCATAAGTAAGTTGCAGATATCGTTTGCATTAAAGTCTGTACCACTCTCACATCAACAGTTGTTTGTTCTCATTGTTGCAGCCTGCTGAAAGCTGAAATTATTCAGTGTGTATGTCTTCTGATATAGCTATATTATTTTATATTATATTATATTATAAAGAATTACATTTATGTCTCTCTGAGTGAATGACACAGTCGTCTGGCTGTGTTCACACTTCCCAGTCATCATCACTAAGCTCATACTGCCCCCTGTTGACTTGATATGCACCTGGGCAGAAGTAGGTCCCAGTTTCTTGCAAAGGCTACTCAAAATGTGGTTTTGGGGCCACCAGAGGCCATTGTGTACACCTGGAGGGGTCCACAAAAATCTCACCAACTCTCAACCTGTTGCTTTGAGAAGATGCAATAGGCTCCATCTGCTGGTCAGACAACTGAATTATCAGTTCCGTCTTTTAAAATGGTCTCTTGTTGTAGGTGTATAATACAATATAGAGCTGTAACTAACAGTTTATTTATTATATTTATTTTATATTAATCAGATTCTTTTCTAGCTGAATTGTTTGTTTTGCCTGTAACTTGAGAAAATGGTGATTGGCTCTTTACTTGCAGGGATGAACAATGTGTTCATCCACACCATTTGCTTTGCCCTCAATAACATTTTTCTTTTACTATCTTTTCTGTCTTCTCTCTCATCCAGTTCTAGGTCTCGCTCCCGCTCTCGTTCTCACTCTCCGTCCTACAGAAACTATCCAACCAGGGACTATCAGAACAACAGAGGTGGTTTCAGAGGCTACAACCGAGGCTACCGGAGGCCCTTCCACTACCGCGGCAGAAACCGAGGCTATTACCAGCGCGGCCATTACCAGAACAGGGGAGGAGGTGGCGGCTATGGCTATAAGAACAATTGGCAGGGTGGCGGTGGAGGATGGCACGACCGTCACCATGACCAGGACCACCACTCACACAGCCCCAGGAGGGGGCGCTCACGATCCCGCACACCCAAGAAGCGATCTGGCAGCCGAAGCCGTTCCCGCTTCTCTGACCGCTCCTCTTCAGGTAAATCCCGACACTCCAGGCGCTCCAGCTACTCCTCACGATCCCGGTCCTCATCACCACGTCGTCGCAGCAGCAAAGGCAAGCCCGGTTCCAAGGACGGTAAAGACAAGCTAGTAGAAAGTCAAGTAGAGAAATCGGGTCAGGCAGCAGACGGCAGCGCCATCGAGAAGGCATCCGGAGGTAAATGGATTGACTATGACGCCAGCCCCAAACGAGCCAGCCCAGACAGTAAGAAAGAGGATGTTTCCACTAGTCCTGAGGGTAAAGGGCCCGGAAGCGGCGGCCCTCTGTGGAAAACCATCGGCAGCGTGTCCCCTCCGCCAAAAAGCCCCACAAAGTCGGGACAAACCGCCTCCTTCAGCGGCTTTGGGTTCTTCTCAAAGGAAGATCTCAAAGCTGGAGATAAGACTGTGATCTCTGCCGCCTTCAAAAAGTATGTCTATTACTTTTTTTTTTTGTTATTTGAATGTAATTACATTCTTTTCTTTTTAAGTTCCCTAACAAATTATGAACGTTATTTTTCTTTCAAACATGTTTAGTCTTTTTTTCAAAGATCCTTGGATGAATACAGGTTTAAAAGGAAAACATAAGACTCCTGATTTTAAGTGCATTGAAAATGTAGCCGGCTGTTTACTGTGCACTGAGAGGAAGTTGTATGAAACGGTGGTGGGTTTACGTGAGTATGATTACTGCAATGTGAGTCCTGGTCTGTACTGTTTGCATTAAGGATGGGCATTTCTTTCTTTCTCTGTTTTTACTTTTATTAGAAATGATCAAGATAGGAAATTAAAACTAGAAGCCGGTCTGCTCCTGATAAAAGTCTGTGAGCAGCTTGTAGGTCTATCTGTTGTAGGGTAACTGGCATTTTTGCAAGCAGTCAGGAGGCAGTGGGGATTTAAAGGTCTTGCTTTTGTTTTTAAGAATAATTTGACTTGGGGAATAGAAGAGACTGAATTTCTATGTTAACAAGCAGGTACATTAATACTGAGAATAATGTCCCAAATATTAATCCAAAGAAAACTCCATTTTCATTGAAAAGTTGCCATTTTTAGGATAAATTGGCTCGTCCAAGTCAACTGAAATTGGTTGCAAGTCTTTGGAGTCTTAGATTTCTAAAGCCTCTTTTTTTCTAATTCCTCTTTAACACACTAACAAACATAAAAAGGTTTTTGCTGTCAGCTTGTAATATTATTAGGCAGTAAGAGTTACAGTAAGGTATTCTCTCAGCATTGTTAGATGCTTAGTTTTTGAAGTTCATATTTTGTTTGGTGGTCTACTTGGGGTCGTTTTGCAGACACACTTTTCAGGTCGTCCTTGCAACAGATTGCTGCCATTATAAAAGCAGTTTTTTTGTATGCATGCCCATCCCTGATGTGTATTACATTTTCTTTTTCAGTTTTCGAGAATATGTTATACTTGTGTCACAGTTTTCTTCTTACATTGCTCATCTCTGTCTGAAGTGTTATTAAAATAAAGCATATTAGTCATGTACCTAGCATGGCAGTTACTAAAGCTCAGGTTGGTTCTTCTGTTTCAGGTTCTTGGCTGAGAATAAAAACAAAAAGCAGGCTGCTGAAAAGGAGAACGGACGCGATAAGGACCAGAGCACCACAGACAGAGAGCTAGAGAAAGGAAGCAAGTCCTGGAGACCTTTTCAACATCTCGTCCACATCTTACAGCGACTCCAAGGAAGACAAGACCATGCCTTTCTTCGATGCTGGAGAAGAGGAGTTCCTCAAGTCTCACGGGCTGAAAGACAGGGACATTGAGGAGGAGGGAGAGGTCAAACCCACCCTCACAGCTCGGGACATTTTCGGTAAATGGGGAGATGAGCCAAGCTATTCGACGTCCTACCCGTCAGTCAAAGAGAAGAGCCGGAGAGAAGAGCCAGAGCCCTTAGATCACATGGAGGAGGAGTTGTACCGAAGCCGCAAGCACAGCTCCAAGAAAGAGGAGAAGTCCAAGAAGAAGGAGAAGAAAGAGAAGTCCAGAAGGAGTCCGTCCCCTCCCATAATCCCCAGAGAGAAGGAGCGGCCGCTGTTCCCTGGAGCTTTCCCTCCTCGCGAGGAGTCACCTGTACGACACATGTCTGCAACAAGGGAGGAATTTGACCTCAAAATCGGTTCTTTAGATGAATTGCCCAGGTATGTGTAGTAATATTCATTCATATAATGTAAGTAATCTCCTGTTTTAGGACTAACTGTAACAGACACACTATATACAGACTTTAAAATCTAGCTAGCAGAGCAACACTAAGGCTTTAAACAACCCATAATGCAACACTTCCTGTAATCAAGTTCAATCCAGTTGCAGCCCGAACCTTTTTTAACCGTATTTCCAGACAGTTGGCAGAAGAAAGTGTTAATTAATGCGTGTTTCCATCTGCTACTGGTGTTCTTTATTTATTCTTTATATGAACAACAGTTACAGTGAAGCACTCATTGGCATTAAAACTCTTAAATCTCAGGCTCCCTCCAACAATGCCCATACAAATATGTATAAAAAAGTGTATTATTTTTAAGAACCTGAGACATAAAGTAGTGCAGCAGCTAAAATATAGGAATAAAATATAATATATAAAGAATATAATACTGTGGTAGATGAGTGATGTGTATTAGATATATTTATATCAAGTTTGTTAACAGTAGTGTTGTCAGTTATAGATTTAGTTAGAACAGAGTTATGATCTTTTAGCCTTTGTTACCCTCAGGTGTGCGTAAACTACAGGTTATTAACTTCTCTATAAAATACAAAAATGTGAAATGATCTGTTGTCTTATGGGCCATGAGAAGAAGGTAGTTGTCGTTATCAGCTGAAAGAAATGCATATCGTGCATCTCTAAAGTGTATATACGTAATGAGAACAGGTTATAGACATGCAGATGGATCAATATATACAGCTAGTAGTAGTAACAGGTAGTAAAATAAATATATACTTACTATGTAAATAAGCAGGTAGTAATGCATGTGTATACTGAGATCTGTAATATTTGGAGTTGAGATAAATCGAGAAACCGTTGGTGGTCCATTAAACCGTTGGAAGATGGTGGAAATAAAGCATTTATGTTTTTGAAAATGTGCATAAAACATGTGAGTGGAAACACTTTATAGGAGCTGGTGGCCCAGTTGGTATCTACAGTTAAAAGAAGAATATCTAATGACGTGAATACGCAGTGATATTCGTCCACCCGCTCGTCCTTTATTTGGCCCAATATGGTAGATATATTATGTTGCTTTGAAGCCTTATCTCGCCCTCTTTAATCAACTCACTTCTTCTGTTCTCTCAGCTCTTCCCTGTCTAAAGATCGCGATCGCCTCCTGCCCCGAGATCTGCTCAATAAGAAAGATCCAGAGTTTCGTTCCATTTTCCAGCACATTCAGTCAGCACAGCTCCGCCGCAGCCCCTCTGAGCTGTTTGCTCAGCACATAGTCTCAATTGTGCACTACATCAAAGGTAGAGTATGATTCATGCTGGGTTTGTCCTCTCAAGATGACAAGACAAGTGGAGTTTGGACAGTTGACGAGACCTGCTGGACACTTATTCATTACTTTAATATGTTTAGTTACCACAGATGGTGGCTGCTGTATGTGGAATAATAGTTTTTCTCCCTTTTTATTCGCAGCTCAACACTTCAAATCCTCAGACATGACTTTGAGTGAGCGGTTTGCCATGTACCAAAGAAAAGCTGCAGAGGTAGAAATGATGAAGCCAAGGAAGAGCCCAGAAATCCACAGGTATCTCCAACGTCTAACTAGCTGATCATAAGTAATTTATTCAACATGTCCGTCACGCAGTCTTTTTCCCCAATCACTGCCTACTGACATTAGACTCTTTCCCCTCTCTCTCTCAGGAGAATCGATGTTTCCCCCAGTGCCTTTAAGAGGCACTCTCACCTGTTTGAGGATATGGAGGAGACGAGCTACAAGGTGACCAGCCCTTTTGAAATTTGAAGTATTTTGGAACAAGCAAATTTGAGACGATCCAAAGCAGCAGTGTTCAGCTTTGTGCTTTTCTTTCAAAGGATGCATATTTCTAAATCAAAAGAGCCCAATTGTGTTTTGTAAGTGCCAAGCAAGCCCCCCAGCGTATGAGATATGGTTATTGATTGGGTATGTACGAACCCAAGCAAAGGCTAAAAGGAAGTGAATTAAGATCCTGAGTCCAAGCCTCTCAAGGAACGCTTATCAGTGCCTTTACCTTGTAAGTATTTTTCCTAAAAAGAAAAAATCAAGCCACAAAAAAAGTGTGAAATTATATTTATTTTAATGAGTTACATGCATGCTGCTGGTTTCCACAAATACTGTTACATTGTGAAAAGTCATTTTTATAAGAAATAAGCATTTTGTATTCTTTATGTACTACACATAGTGTTTAATGTAATGTCATATTTATCAGTATTCACATTTTGTCTTCACCACTAGAGGGAACACAGTGCTTATGTTATGTTGTGCACAGTGCAGATGTGTATGTTTTCACCAGTATAGCATTTTTGAATCTGTGGGAGTATGTGGGCTTGATTGCTTCATTCAAAAATTGCCAGTCAGTGTTGCAAACAACTTCTGTAGTGGCTGACGAACGACATATCTCCGCAGGATCCAAGTCAAAAGTTCAAAGGCGACGTGATGGACCTTCGCCTGGATATTGAAAGGCGTAAGAGGTTCGCTGGGAAGGACTACAAGCGTGAAGGGGGAAGGAGCCCTGGTGGCTCCCGAGGACCGAGCAGAGAGAGGTCCTCTGAGAAATCTGGGAAACACCACAAGAAATCCAAGTGCGTTCAGTCTCCACTAGAGGTTGACACAGTCAGGAGTGGTTACTGTTGTTAGCGGGGACACAAACATTATCACCTCTTCTTTAAGCATCTTTTAAACACCCCACCACGGCAAAGAATTGGTGCCTTACAGTAGTTGGCTTATCGCATTATATGGGTCAGTTCTTTGTTAGAAGAACATTTGATTAATTAGGAATACACTGCATTTCCTGTACACCTTCAAAATTAAAGCGTTCTTGTGATTGTATGGTGGAAATAGGGTACAAGATGGAAACAGCAGAATAAAATGAGCATAAGCAGCTACAATATGTACACTGTTGGAGAGTGTATCGGGAATAGATTAAAGTAGATTAACACTGATTTAGGAGTGAAATAACCTCTTTAACCGAATAACGCCTGCAGGTTTGTACACCATGGCGTTACTTAAACATATAATGCTATGTCTGTGGGGTGAGGCAAGTAAAGGTCAAAAACATTAGTGCTCCCAAAATGAAACTAGTAAGGACTTTGCTGAGGTAGTTCATCTTATTTAAAGAAAGGTTTTGGGTGTTTTTTGTTTTTGTGAAGGAGGAAGAGGTGAACACATCAGTCATGTCTCCTGTAACCATTGTAACTACTCTTCAAACCACAGCCTTGACATTCAAACCACTCATTCATATGCATTACGCCACTCACCTCCAACCCTTTTCATGTTGTGTGCCCATAGGAAGGGTAAAAAGAAGCGGGATCGCTCTCCGTCCTCCTCTTCCTCTTCCTCCTCTCCATCCCCGTATCCTCCACCTTTCAAAGGTAAAGAGTACATGGGAGAGGGGATGGAGCACTCGGAGGAGGGCTACAGTCACTCACGTTATCCTCCACGGGACTACAGTGGGCCCGCAGACAGAGCCCCTCGAGATTACGAGGGCCACAACGCAGAGAGGGGCCGGGGCCGTGGATTTGTAAGTTCCCGTCTGTTCTTTGTTCAGCTCTTCAGCTGTGTTTTTACTGACATCTCATCTTCTTGCAATTCTCTGTCCTAATGGCATCACAGTAGACTACCCTTCTCTGCTCTGTTCCTTCCTCCTAATACTAAGGAACATAATGTGGATGGTGATGATAATGATGATGACACTCTATCATACATATTCCATGCACTACCTGATTTTTATTAAGGTAACGTAGCGCAAATCAGTGGAACTTCACCTCATCACTAAACAAAATGCCTAATTTCCATCAGTATGGCTTTTTATTTGTGTGTTCTGTCGTTCTCATCGTACCTGGGTCGATTTTATTTGACAAATGTTCCATCTTATTGTGAAAAACACGTCTGTCCCCTTGACTGCGAGTTTAAATCCAACCTGTTGTTTTGATTTCAGTTCCCCAGAGTGAGAGGGAGAGGTTGGAACAGGGGAAATTATCCAGGCAACAGCAGTAATGGAAACCCTGCCAATATGAATCCTCCAGTGCGCCCCCCGGAGGAGGAGTGGGACCCTGAATACACTCCCAAGAGCAGGAAGTATTACCTGGTAAGTCTCTACTCATTGATTTAGTGGCACACAGAGACGTTCCTGAACATCTCTCTTGTTCACTGAAGACATTTTGACGTGTCACAGTAGACATATAATAGAATAAATGATGGCTGAATTTTATTTATCTGTTTCAGTTTCAGGGACCTGGTATTGTGCATGCTGGCTCACTGTCTTAACTTACAGGGACACTTATAACAGAGCCATTGTTAATGAGTAACATCTGTGCTTTTCCTACTGTGACATGTCAAAATGTCTGCTGTGAAAAAGAATCGTCAACCTACTCAACATAATTTTCTGCCAAAGGTTTGTTTATTTTACATTATTATTCCTGTTTGTGCTGTTTTCTTTGTGCGTTTCTCAGTGATGTAAAGTGGGGGGGGGGTCATTTCAATCAAAATGTTACTCAGATTTTATAGGCTTAACTAAATGTCCCTACAAATACTCATGCTTTGATTTGACTTTAATGTATATATTAAATTTAACAATTAGATTGTAGTCCACTCAAAAACCAAAGTAGTCCTCATGTTAAACACATGGAAACAACGTTTTGGCTTTAACTCATCATTATGAAGTAAATGTTGATAAGCCTCGCTTTCATTATGTAATGCGGTCTGCCACCGAGCACCAATATATACCGGGGAAATAAAGGCTAGACTAGCAAGGCTTCCAGCAAAAATAGACAGTGAAAAGGAGTCTGTTCATAGTCTTATCGACATTATACAAGCAACATAAACAGCTTTCACTCGAGATTCAATGTCTATATCTGTAGAATGTGTCACAGACACGAAAAAGCTCAACACCTCCTGTATCCGTTTGAGATTAAAAGCTCTCTCGTGATTCTGACAGAACAGAATCTGTTCACATGTTAACAGGACTTTTATTAAACTGAAAGGCAAACTCAGTAGAGAAAGATAGGGCTGAAGCAGTTCAAAGAGCCAGCTGTCACGCACTGCTCAGGTAGGCAGTGTGAAGCAGGTTTAAGACTCTTCTCAGGGTTTAGTCGACTGTTAGGAGGCAGCTCTAATTGAAACACTGCAAAATAAATAATAAATAAATATCAAGAAATCAGTCCAGAGTTGAGTTCCGGCAGTGTAAAAGACTCCCCTTCCTCTTCCAGCATGACGATCGCGACGGAGAGAAAACCTGGGTAGACAACCGCGGAAGAGGCCGGGGCGCCTTCCCAGCTCGCCGGGGACGCTTCGTCTACCGAAAGGGAGGCAGCAGCCCGAAGTGGACCCACGACATGTTCCAGGGGGGAGAAGAGGGGTCGCTGGGAGACGACAACCTAGAAGTAGACCGTAAGGAAACCAAGAACGCCGGAGACGGCAGCACCCCGAAGCAGTAGACGTCTGACTCCATCACCCTACACGTTGACGAGCGTCTCACGGACGGTTACAGTGACGATGAAGGGGTTATTCTTTATTTTCCCCTCTACGTCATCCCATCGTTTAATGGTTAAAATGTTCAGTGAGTTTGAGCCTTCTCACAGTTAAAGTGAAGAAAGAACTGACTCGAAAGAAGAGCAGCACTCTGTTACTTTTGTATGTGAGGTTTCAGCTTAATTTCAGAGTTTTTGTTTCGCAACTGGTCGATTTAATTGTATCTTTTAGGGGAGAAATTACTGAGGCAACAAAGTTCAACATTCTCTGTAAAGGTGGAGAAAATAAGAAATGCATTTGTGCCTTAGAAAATAACAATAATACAGTGATGTGTTTGAAGGTACAGCCCCGGTTATGAGAGGTGCAGCTCTGTACCTGTTTATAAGCGTAGGAAGACATTAGATGATGTCCATTTCATTGTTTATGTTTTTCTGTTTGTGTTTTGGGGGCTGTGCTAAACCGTTGATGTTACTGCATGAAACGTTGGATTCATACCTTGCTCCACGGGACCAATCAGTAGCGGGCTCAGGGCTCCTGATCGTCTGGATTATCTCTCACGAGAAGTTACTATCTGTTTTGAACCCCTGAACGATTGGTGTTTGTCACTTATATTATCCGAGCTTTTTCATATAGTGCCACTTCACCTGTACTTCTCATTAGGAGGTAAAAAGACAGTTTTATGTGTGTGGGCTACAGTATATTCTCATTCATTGTGGGTGTTTTTCAGTTTAAAAAAACAACAAGTGTGAATTGGCACCGAAATCGCCTGATTTTCTTTAAACGGTTTAAACACATGTAGGTTTTTCTTCCTCTGTCATATCAATTTAGGTAAGTGGCTAAATTTTTGTTGAGATTTTTAATAAAAAAAAAAAAAAGGATAGTTATTACGAAAGGTTAATATGTGAATAGAATTATTAGACCTAAATTATTGTAATCTTAACATCTGGGGAGGAGAGGGGAGGGAACACAAACAACATGGTTCTTTTTTTAAAACAGTCGCAGTAATCGTCTCTCAAAAACAATCTGTCGGAGAAAAAGTGAAGCGAAACCTGAGAATTTGTGACGAAACATTTTGTCAAAGGCAAAGATGAAATTGTTTTATTTTAAAGAGGAGTCGACACAAACTAGTTTTGTGTGTCTCACTGCTGCTTTGTCCCACTTTGGACTGTACATACTGCATGTACTAAACTGAACTGTAGGACTGTCCTTTCTTTTTGTTTAATCTGAAGCTGAAAACTTTTTTACTGTTCTCAAGAGCTTTGAAGTACTTGTCTCTTTCATTTTCAATAGGTTTCTTTTTCCTTTGATTCAGGGCAATTCTGTGAGTGTGTTTTTATTTTTGAGACCTACAAATGAGCAGGCTGTAGAAACCCAGCCCACTGTGTTCAATGGTTTGTGATTTACTTCATTGTTTGGGGTCTGACGTACCCCGCTGCAGTCTGTGTACAAATATGAATAGTTGCAAAATCAAACAACTTTTTTTCCTCCTTCTGATCTTATTAAAAACCCAATATGTATAAAAGTATTGAAGTGGTAACTTTTAGATTGGATACAAACCCGCACATTTTTATTATTGATTAATCTGCCGGTTATTGTTTCTTGATTGTTTTTGTCTTTAAAATTATCTTTTAAAAAAATGGCCAGTGTCATTTTCCAGAGCATTTTAAACAGTTTAAAGTCAGAACATCTAAAGTTTACTATTGATTTTCTATCAAGAGAAGTAAATCCTAACGTTGGAGAAGCTGAAAGCAGAATGTCATTTTTGCTTGAAGTGTTCAGAGAAGGGACCGAGTCATTATTTTGAGTTTCGAGTCCTAAGCAAGTCATAATGGACTCTTTAACAAATGTAATGCTACTCTAACAACAGAGTTATAACATTGAGAAAGAATATTATGATTCTTTTTTCAGATTAATATTCAAATTTGTCGTCATGTTTTGGGTGAATGAGTCTGGGAGGGAACTGCTTCTGTACGGCTGAAATGGAGACTACGCAAACAAAATCCTCTTTGGTACAGTTTTTTTCTAACTGGTTCTTAGTAATGTAAAATTAGTTCTTTAACTCATGTAAAGATATTAATATTGTATATTTTATATAATAATATATAATCACATCTAGTCAGATCTCAAAGTTAATTTATTAGTTGATTGACAACTATTTTGATAATCGCCATTTTTCAAGCTAAAGTCCGTCATATTTAACCGTTTGCAGCCACATGTGGCTCCAGAGATGAAATATGTCAACAACTATTGGAGAGATTACCAAAACAATTTGGTTCAGACTGAACTATAAAAACTTTGGTGACCCTTTAACATCATTCAGCCTGTAAAACTTTACATTCCCAGCAGCCTCGGCTATACTTTGTGTGCTTTCAACTACATATACCGCTCCTGTTTACAGCTGGAGTGTCTGAAACATCAATTCATTATAATATTTAAGCCATTCTCAAGTATCAAGTTGGTGAGACAATGATAAATATGTTTTTTTTAGAGCTGTTAAAGAGGCACCAAACAGTCTGTGACAGTTAGTCACAGACTGAGCAGACGCCATCGGGTCATGAGGTTTTGTCAGTATTGAGCAGTTTTTCTCCAAACACCTACAACAATCTCCAATTCAGCCCTTCATAACGTGACACTGGACACAAGCTCTCCAGTTGTAACATAATCAACCCGTTCATGGACGGAGGAGGAAACTCCAGCCAACAGAAAATAGACTGTCTCCTGGGACGTCGCTTGGATCCACTTGGGGAAGCTCTGCATTGGTAAAATCTACAGTACGGGTTGAGGTAAAGGGCTCTTTCATAGCCCCGCAAACAGACGTGTCTTCAGCAGAGAGAGAGCTGCAGTGTTGTAGCTCGAACTGGGAGGCAAGGTGCTGGGAACTGTGGGAAATGGGGAAACACGGGAAGGGATGGGGTCAGAGACACAAGTTAATTTAGAGGCTGAGAAAAGACTTTGGAGGGTTTCTGTGGGAAGACTTCTCTGCTAAGATTAACCCAAACGTCCTCTGTGGAAGCAGTTTGACGCTTCGGCTGCAACTTTTGGATTAATATACTCGTTAATAACCAAAAGAAATAATAATGAAATAAGATAATATAAGATAATGTGTTCAAATGGCTTAAAGTTATTTGTAGATTAAAGAACAATTCTGAGTAATTTATTAAATAAAATGCCAAAACAATCTTTGAATTAAGTTTATTAAATGTGAGGATTTACTGATTTTCTCTTTTATATCATTGAAAAATTAACAGAAATTTGGACTGTTACCTCAAACATATTCAATTTACTATTACTAACCACAGAAAGTTACACATTATTGCTTAAAATTTTTATTTAATTTTATGTTTCTTGATTGCCTGACAACCTCAGAAGTTGTCCTTTTTACACTTCAATGTGCTGTTAGGTGGATTTTGGTCCCTAGGCTAGCTGTTTCCACCTGTTCCCAGTGTTTGTGCTAAGCTAACCTTCTCTCAGCTCCAGCTGCTACATACCGGTTATTTACCCAAACAAGACACAGGAGTGGTATCAAGAAAGCAAATAAAACTCAGTTTAACACACAAAAATTGACACATGGGCTCTGTTACATCAAATGATAAATATAATGTTTTGTTTTTGGCTCAAAAAGTGGTTCAACTTTTAATTATTAACATTTCAGTGATATGGTAAAATACACATGAAGCTTAATGCTGCATACAAAATCTTTATGTCACAAGTAACATGATACCAAAATCTGTGGAGGCCAAAAGTGTTCAATACTAAAACAGACAAAATATATAACACTGATACTGTAAAAATAATTAAATAAACCTTTGAAACTCATCTCATTATTATTACAATGTTATTTATTCTGCTTTTCACAATAAGAGAGTTTATTGCAAGATCTCATTTTATTTCATATTGACACTTTTCAAGCAGGACAAACAGTTTTTTTCTTGAGCAATAAAGATGTTGTGAAAAGAAACTGGATGAAATAACATTTATAACATTGAGCTGAGTTAAAAAATGTATTAGGTTATTTGAAAATGTGGATTTTATTGCAGGTTTTTAGATATTTATTCATATGAGTAATTATTTTGTTTTGCTAAAAGAAGTTATTAGGGGGAGAGAGGAGGGCAGATAAATATTATTTTGGCTGAAGGGTAGTAACTTGTATTTTACCTAATTTAAGTTGGAATAGAAGAAATTGGACTGATTTAACACTTTAATATTGATTTAATATGTTCATGTTAGCAGTTGGACTCTTCAGTCCAAACTGAAATAAGTCAAGAACTATTTGATGGACTGACATTAAGTTTTCTACAGACATTCGTGGTCCCCAGAAGATGAATCCTACAGACTTTGGTGATCCCCTGACTTCTTTTAGTGCCACAAGCAGATCAAATCTTCCACTTATCTAGTGAAATATCTCAAAATCTACTAGATGGATTGGCACGAAAATTGGTGCAGACATTCGTGGTTCCCAGAAGATTAATCCTACTGACTTTGGTGATCCTCTGATGTTCCTCTAGCGCCACCATGTGGTTGGCAACTATTGGAGGGATTGATATTGCTTTAGTGATCCTGACTTTTCATCTAGATGGTAAACAGCCAAATAAAAGAAAGCATTAATAACTCGGGAAGGGGTTATTAATGCTTTTTCTCCTCCTCACCACCACAATCATCTTCACACAGTCCCTTATTTTAATATTGAACACTTTGGGCTTCCACACAAGTCAAGGTGAAAAGGTCTCTATCTGCCCTTTGCAGTCATGAGGTGGATTTTGAGGGCCACAGTCAGCAGTGTCTGTTAGTGGTAATGCACTCGTCCAATAGTTCCCGTCCCTGTGACCAGGATGTCCGGCTGTCCGTTCCTCCAGATCTCCCTGACGATCCGTTCCCTCTCCTCCAGACGTCGGGCCTTCTCCAGCTCCTCGGCAGAGGCGAAGACGTTCACGCTCCTCAGAGTGCCGTTGGACTGGCTGCTGCGGTCGCTGCTCAGGGGCCCCATAGTCACTTTAGGGATCTCCACCTCCTGCCCGTCTTCCTCCGCAATGCTCTCCTCCTCCTCATCCTCCTCCTCTTCCTCGCTGGACTCCTTCAGCTGTCTCCTCTCGGGGGAAGGGGGAGGCCTTCTGGGGCGGCGAGTCCTGCAGGCGACGCCCACCACCATGAGGCACAGCGCCATGAGCAGGCCGAAACAGACGCCCATCATGAAGTAGAGGGCGAAGCTCTCTGGATTGGCTGTGTGGGTTCCATAGAGGGATTAATATGACCTCAGACATAGTACAGTAGTGAAAGTAATTAAATAATCATAAAAAGTATGTTTATGCTTCTTTATACTTCTACTTCTCTACATTTCAGAGGGAAATATTGTACTTTTTATGTCACTACATTAATTAACAACTATGATTACTAGTTACTTTTCAGATGAAAACAATAAAATGTCTTGTTTTTGATTAAATTTTGTCTTTAAAAAACATTGTTGGGAAGCTTTGTTACATTTAAGATGCCTATGAGTTGTTTTCAGTTCCCAAAGAGACATTTCAGATTTCAGATTTATCCTGTGACCTTTTGGAGTTGGGAACCCCTGAACTAAACTGTTTATAAAGTGGTTAAAAACTAGTTCCATCTTGACCATCTGCAACAGTAACATGCCACATATTGTAATGTTGAACCAGTATTAACTGTCTAATAATGTCATATATAACAATAAACCACACCCGGGTTCAAAAACGATATTTTGAGTACATTTTGCAGATAATACCTCTGTACTTTTACTACTTCTTATACTACAAGGAGATTTCTATATAGAAAATGTTTGCTACCAGGTCAGATTCCCCTTGAAATCAATGAAACGAGGCGGTAGAAACACTACCACGTTTGTCTACAGGGGGCGCCAGAATCAACACAAAATAAAGTTCCTTTTAGGGGCTTTAAGTGGGATTTTGAATGCAGGAGTTTTTACATTAATGTATTGTTACTTATACTTAAGTAAAAGATCTGAATACTTCCTAAGAGAAACTACATGAAGTGCGAGTGAGTTCGCCTGAGCAGAAACAGAACAAAGACAGCAGATACACAGTCAGAGTACAGCAGTGATATGAGCCAAAGAAAACAGGACACTGACGTCCCTGGAACCGATTCAGGACAGACAGACACAAGAAAACTCTTCTGTTGAGGATCTGCTGTGATTCTAGTTCCCAATGGTTTCTCAAGATTCATATTTGTCCAAGTCTGTGGTAACGTCCAGTATAGACAGGAGGAACAATAACAGTGATCAATAACAATAATAGAATAACAATTTATAGCTGACTGGGGAAAAAATGTGAACTATTCCTTTAATGTGAAGCCATCTCAAAGAGGGATTTTTCACTTTCTCATACGGTTTCATTTTAAAGGAAGAGTTTGCATATTTTGGCAAATACACTAGCTGAGAGTTAGAGGAGAACAAAACATTTTTGCTATCTTTGGACAGAGCCAGGCTAGCTGTTTCCCCCTGTTTCCAGTGTTTATGCCAAGCTAAGCTAACTAGCTTCTGGCAGTAGGTTTGTATTTGACGTACAGGTATTAACGAAACGGCTCATCTAATTCTCAGAAATCAAGAAGTAAAACTTTAGAATTTGGCAAAATCAGATGGAAGTTTTTTATTATCTGTGCTGGTGATCATCTTGTGACCGCATTGGATTCATGTTGCGAACTGCCGAGGGAGCCTCGAGCCCCAGGTTGGGAACCACAGTTATGGACACACAGGGAGGTTTTACCTTTGATGTGAGCGTAGGTTGCCATGCTGTTACTGAGCAGCTCCATGTCTCTTTTAACAGGCTCCATCCTGATTCACTGTCAGTTCAAATATCTACCATCTCCAGGACTTTCCTTTTACACGCCGAACTCCAGGACCGTCCACCAAACGACAGATCCTGTCACACAGAGAAAAACACAGTTAATATATGCATTAATGGTTCAATCTGATGTACTTTGTCACTGGGGAAGTCTGAGCTCATCCAACGGATGCCAAAAGCCTGACAAAGTGTGTTCCCCACCCATCGTTCCTGGGATCTAAACTAGTGTCAGAGGTCAGTGGAGAAGGACATTGTGTTCCTCGTAAGTGTTTTACACTCAGGCCTGCGGTTAGGACAACGTGGGGCCCTCTGCGTCTGATAGGGATGTTTATATTTATGACATCAGTGCCTGAGGAGGCTCTTTTCCGGCATCCAGGAAGTGGTGGGGGTTTTTTTTGGGTTCTGTTTTTTCCCACAGAAAAAGTGACATGACATATTTTGCGTGTCGAATTGCATGTCCACCGGGAGAAAAATATAATAACAAATTACAGACAAACTGTTGATTTTGTTTTATTCTCTTCAGCCTTTGAATGAGGGGAACTTTTTATGAAGGGTTTGATTCATTATCTTTTCTGTTTGGTAAATAATACAGTTATAAATTACGGTAATCTGATAATAAATTCTCATTGGTTTCACAATGTATGAAACTTATAAAAAGGTTGTTATGATAATCCATCACATCTGTAGTTGTAAATGTTTAATAAGTTGTCATTGATGAGATGTGCTGCAGTCTATCAGAGATGTTTTTTTTATAGACAATGGGATCCTTATTAGAAAGTCCTACTAAAGGTGACAAAAATAAATTTACTCAAAAAAGTGAGTAATAAATAAGTGAATAAATACTGAAAATGGTTGGTTTTTGTTGCTGTTGATGGACGTTATTGTCCCACGATACACAAAGGAAGCAGAGGAGCTGCTCACAGCTGCAATGAATTAAAGCTAATTGTGGATGGTGGTGAGACAGTTCCTGGGACACCTCGGAAATAGACATTTTAAAGTCTATCTGTGAAGTTTAATTGTCACGTAATCATTTCCTGTTAGTGTAAAATGTACAAAAAGTGTTGATTTTAAAATAAAATATGTAATATTTCTGAATTAAAATGTCTATAAACACTAGATATGTTATATATGTTGTTAAGTTGTGTACTTATATTATCCAAAATGTGTCCAACAATGTTCAAATCATTTTATTCCTGTAACGGTGCGTTTCACTGGTCTCCTGTCAATGGTGTCATATCCCCCTTTGTATATGTGTTGTGTCATAAACTGATTTTTTAACCAGTTTTAAGCCACATTATTACGATACACTTTAGATCTCGGACGTTTTTAACTCTATATTTTAACCAGATGAAGGATTTTAGTCAAGTTATCAGACAAACAAGCTAAACTAATGTTAGCAGCAGTCGGAGAAACACAACAACCTTTTTCAGTGTTTTTACTGGTTTTAAACAACAGCTCTGGTTGTTTTGGAGAGGAAGATAAGTCGGCTCTCGGTAGAAACCTCCTTAACGATTAACACTGAAGGAATCCTAACCGGGACAATCTGACAGCAATGGTGGTGAAGACAACAACTCCCATGATCCCATCACTCACGACGCCATCAAACTACATCTTGTGTTATTGTTTTGATGTGCGAGATGCCCCCTTTTTTTTTTGGAATTTGTGTGAACCAGTCCTTTAAGCGAGTGAGAAACTGAGGGTAAAGAGCGGGGATTCGGTCGCAGATGGTCCCACGGTTACAGTAAAGCTTGATGTAAACACGATGACTGATATTTCCCACCCCCTCACATTCCCTGTCATTACAACAACAATGTGCGTGGGAGCCGAATGTTTTTCTTTCTGTTGCTTTCTCTCCAGGGAGAAACGAAATCGTGCCCTGCTCCAATTGCTGCCATTGGGGGCTTGAGTTGCTCTCCCACCCTGATCTTTATCCTGGTGACTCTTGGCAGAGCCTGTACACTCTCAAAAGGCTTTCTTTTTTTATTTGTTTTGAGGGGCAATTAAAGCGATAGGCGCTTTTGGTGGCTGAGTCAGAGTCCACTGACTCATGGGAACCGATGGTTCTCTACCAGCGCTGCCTTCTGTTCGACATTTAACTCACAGACGAAGCATGACTCCATCTGCACCCTCAATTTGTGGCCCCCAGACCTTAACAACATAAGTGGGCAATTTAGTTTTTCGGTTCAGCTGGTGTAAAGTTGAACAATGTTTGTTTTAATTAAAGGCCGGCCTCCAGTGGTGCGACATCTCCACCGTCAGACTGTTTATAACACTGAATCACAGATACCAACTTCTTATCAAGTCGTGTTTCCTGTAATTTGAGTCTTTAAAGGAATTGTTAGATGAGTAGATTGATGCCACTCTCGTGTCTGTGCGATAAATATGAAGCTACAGCCAGCAGCCAGTTAGCTTAGCTTAGCATAAAGACTGGAAACAGGGGGGAGCAGCTAGCCTGGCTCTGTCCAACGGTAACAGAATACTACAAGAACCTTTAAAGTTCACTAATTAACAAGTTATATCTAATCTGTTTAAAACTTGAGTTTAAAAACAACAATGTGCTGTTTTATGGGCAGAGATATTTCTTGTAGCAGTTCTTTTTTCTTTGTACGGAAACAAACAAAAGAGATATAACGTGTTGAGCTTTAATGTTGCTGGATTATGTTAGAAAGTTTCCCCCTGTTCCCAGTCTTTGAGCTAAGCTAAGCTAACTGGCTGCTGGTTTTACTTTCACATTTAGAAATCAATCTTCTCATCTGACTCTCGGTAAGAAAGTAACGTTTCTTAGAAGAAGTTGAGCAGGTTGATAGTGCAGTAAGAATATTTCTACAATGTAAATCAAATTGTTTTCGTCGCAAAATCAAGTTGAATTTTTCTCGATTCTCCTCCAGAGACGAGTTTTATTCTTTCATGTTTTAAAATCTAATTTCAGTAAACTTCTTAAAGAGTGTCAGGACTTCAAATTATAAACAGAAAGTATAAAATTAGACAGTGACAGTCGACTATTTATGCAAACAACACTAATAATTTTAAATCCTTGCAGAAGCACACTCCTGTTTTCTCACTTGCAAGAATAAAACTATATATATATATATATTTTTATGCAGAGCTCCACGGGACTTCACGGCGGGCACTTTGTGGTGAAGTTTGTCCGAGCTGGAAGCACAACACAAATACCAGAGGGAGACAAATGTCCATTTTATGCAGCCGCAGTCTCGGGGCAGACACATTTAACACCTAACATTTCCAGACAAGTCCAATAACTTCTCGACTTAACTATACACATACAAAGCCCGGCAGCTGTAGCTGTTTATGTAACTCCATAAAATGCACTCCCGTTCAACCCTCCCACACTTCCTGCTTAGATAATCCTATTTAAGTCAAAAGATGAAACCTGAAACCATTGAAAATAAGACTTGTTATTTTACAGTAGTGAACCCTGCTTCTCACTAAATGTGTGCAGTCTCTCAGAGTTGCTGTCAGAAATACTTTATTGTAGCACAGTGGAAAGTGAACGTAAGAGGGTTTAATAAAGGATAAAAATAGAGGAATTAATACAGTTTTCTTTGTGGATTTATATGGACACATTGTAGCTGCTGCACCTATAAAGACTTTTATGGCCTGTGGTATAAGACATGGTGCAGGCTCTGCTAATAAACTACTTTGTTGCCTTGTTTATTGCCTGACAGCAGAGCAACTGCACTATATTTGGGAAGATCCTTATGAAAATGAAAGAAGGTTTTAAAACATTTTGTAAAGCAGCTAATATATCCCCAACAAAGAGCCCAATAAAAGTTTTAAAATGTAAAGGAAAAAGAGTAAAAGATGAACATAAACTCAAGTCAGAACATCACTCACCTCAGTCCTGGATGAGAGCTGCACAGGTTGACGTTCACAACGCTGGAAAAACAAGGACGTTAGATCCAGATTTGAACCGGATCAGTCAGCCCGGCACTTGGATAAGATCCCATAATCTGGACAGAGAGTTTGTTGGTCACTCAGTGTTGGGAGACAGAGGAGCTGATGTTGACTGCCGCAGACAGAGCAGCCCTCCACTTTGGTCCACTCCCTGTCATCCTTTAGAGGAGGAGGAGGAGGAGGAGGAGGAGGAGGAGGACCAGTCGTGTTGAGGAGGAGGTGTTTCCTTTTCCCTGAGATAAGTGAAACTCGTGCACCACTCCAAAATAAAAGCCCTTAAAACAATGCAGGTAAACCACACTTTGGAGTCCCTCCCTTTTTTTTTTTTTTAATAGAAATCCACCTTTTACTGGAGTTATTCTGCCACTGTGCAGATTTTGAGCCACACTGCTGACCGGAGGGAGGTGATTTCTCCTCTGCCGGCCACAGACGCACCACAGTGAGGTCTGTTCACTGTTAAGCCAGGAGGGTGGAACAGGAAATAGCTAGTCGGCTGCCATGGGCACAGGACCGCGGTGCTTCAGGGGGGCTCGTGGATTAATTGAGCTCTTTGTATTTTAATCTCAGCGTCGGGGGGGGAGCCAACAGAGTTTATTAAGCAAACAGTGGAGCAGCACACAGGCCAGCAGGTTCTGTTGTTTGGTGGAGAGTGATTAAGTACATTTAGTCCTGTACTGTAATTAAATAACATTTTATATTGTGTTTTTCGATTTAATCATTAATCATACTCATTATTTTTAATTTATTGCTCTTACAGTGTTTTCATGGTGGGTCTCTCCTCAAAATGACTTTTACCTGGATAAAAAAAAGGGAATTTAAATAGAATTTCTCCTCTAAACACTCCACTTTACTTTAACTTAATAACTTATATAAAAGAAAATAATCCAATATTTCACCCAGACGCACACGACATTAAAAATCCTATTTATGTAAGAGTACGGACATATAATCAGCAAAATGTACCAGAAGTATCAAACATATAAATACTCCCCTGAGTATAAAATGGCCCCTGTAAATAATATTATATATACAATATAAATGGATTATTACTGAGGGGTTGTGAGACTATTAATGAGGAAAGAATTGACACAAATATACAGAAACATGTTTTCCTGTGTTTGTTTTATATTAATTTGTTGTGAAATATTGAAAAAATTGGGCCTTTTATTTAAGTAAGTAATCTGAGTACTTCTGGCGAAGTCTGCGGCACCAAACCAGGCCGTTACATGTCGTAAAAGAATTGTTTATGCGGTCGAGCCTCCGTAAAGTGCTATTCTGAGTTGAGTGAGTGTTGATGTGGCACTCGGTCGTGTTTTTAGCAAAGCAGTAAGCAGTCATTATGTGGGCTGCTGTCATTCAGACGCTCTCAAGGTTGGTTTTTAAAGCAGTCAAGAGAAAAATATGTCCCTAAAAAACACAGAGGCCGCAGCCAAAACAATGATCCAACCGCCAAGGGACATTCCTGTGTGCATATTGCTCTTAATTTACTGCACGATTCACTCAGGTTCAATGATATAACCGGTGTGTGTGTGTGTGGGGGGGGGGGGGGTTTATCTGCACCGGCCGCCTCCGCCTGTGTTATGTCAGGCCTGTCCTCTTCCTGACACTGTGTAGGAATAACATACCCCACTGCAAATTCCTCAAATTCCCAATCCTATATGTGTATTGGGAGAACACTGGGACGTGTTTCCAAGCGAAACACTCTCTTCCTTTCACCCGCTCCGCTTATTTCCATTGGCTGTCCCATCCTGCCCCGGCTGGATGTCACAGCACCAATCACAGGAGAGAGTGACAGCTCGCCGATGCATGCAGCGGAGATGTTTGTGAGGTGGAAGCTGTGGAAACACGGCTGCTTGTTTTTCCTCCACCCGACTGGCACTGATCATGACTAATGTTTTCCTGCATATGGGCAGTTATTAACTCTGGTTTCACAGACAGACAGATGGACTTTGTGGTGCATGCCAGGAATATTCTGCAGTAAACACACTGCAGGGCCACACCTGCACACACTGTTAATTGTAATATGTTACATTTTATTTTAATAAATGTGCTGGAATAGAAACTTTTGTTAGTGGACAATAAGTTGATTGTATCGCATCTTTATTCATAATTACTGTATTTATTTAAAAAAAATGTTCAAAAGAAATTTAGGACGGTTATTTTGTGTCAATTACAAACCTCAAACACAATCACCAAAACACAAAGACACTGTTTAACTCTTCAGCCAGTCCCTCTAGGATTTTGTTGTGGCCTAAAAATGATTTCACGGCAGCTTTTGAAAAAAATAGTGACACATGTAATGCGTAATGTAATTGCGATATTTGTAGGCATTTCTTTGCAATGAAATTGTGGGTGAAAAGTTAAAACTGTCATTTTTTTGGTACAATTCATGAAAAATTAAAGGGAGCTTGTGTCTGCATCGTCTCAACGAGAGAGAAGGAAGTAAGTTTGGTCAAATCTGTGGAAAATCTGCAGCGATTCGCTGGGGATTGGTTGAAGTTGCGTTAACTTCCTTGAGTAGCTGGTCCAGCGGTTACCAACAAGAGCTCGACTGATGAATGGGCCAATATCAGCTTATCACAGATACATTGTTATAGGTGTACATGTTAGATCCTGCAGGTTTGAAGTAATTTAGAAAGTGTCATTACATTGTTTGTTCCCCAGAGAGAACTCATAAGATTATATTCCAAGTTAAAATGTCCTGCTCAGTCTCAAATAGAAGAGAACTTCATCGAAAATGTTAAAGTGTGGAGCCACAACAATTAGCTGATTAATCAATGGACGAAAAACTAATCGGCAACTAATGATTTTTTTAACACGCTCTGGTTCCAGCTTCATAAATGAAAGTATTTGCTGCTTTTCTCTACTTCATATCACTGTAAACTGGGTTTTGTTCAGATATAACAAGGCATTAGGAGACATCACTGGGTTGTGGGGAAGTATATTGGTAATTTTACACAATAATGTGACATTCTGTAGATAAAAAGCTCCATCAATTAATCAAGAAAAGATTAATTAAATAATGAAAATAAGTCAGGCTACATTGCCAACCTCTTAAAATAAATTAATGTAAACTTCTGACTCCTCATCACAGGTTGTGGCCTTAATGTGCACACGAGTTGTAGGCAGTTCAACTAAAGAGTTATTTGAAGGACTTTTAGAGGCCTGAAGAGATGAAACTATCAACTCTTTCAACAACTGTGACCCCTGGGGTTGTAAACTGCTGATCTAGCAGGATGCTTGTCCTCAAATCTGAGAAGGAAAAAAAAAGGAATAATTGCTTGTTGCCTTCAAGTATTTTTGGACAAGCAGAACCCAACTGATCCTTCAGTGAAAAAAGTTATTTTGTTTTCGTGGCAAACTCTTTTCTGCCTCCTCCGTGACTGGCAAAGTTGCGGACTCTGTGGATCCTGGCCAGCTGGCTCTGTATGGTCTTCATTATGTCCACGTTGTCCGGGATGTGAACGTAGCGGACGTTCCTGCCCGTGATAAACAGGTCCTGCAGCTGGGTGAGCTGACCCCGTCTGTCCCGGTACAGCACGTTGTCCAGACGTATGTTCATGAAGGCGTCGACGTTGACCACGCGGCCCCGCGCCGTGCTCTCGTTCTTCAGGTCCACCGTGGTCACCTGGCCCTGCAGGCCCTGCAGCAGGACCACCATGCTGTTCTCTGCGATTGTGCGCTCCCGGATGGAGTTGACCACTTCAGTCGGGCCCGACGGCAGGTGTTCGGGTTCCTGCTGTGACTCCATGGATACTGATGAAGAGGATGTCAGGAGGTCAGGGACACCTGCAGACAGGCAGAAGATTATCTAATGTCCTTCAAAAGACTTTGAATTATCCATAAAATGAACAATTATTATGCTGCTGACATTGTGAACTGAGCCTCGTTACTGAAAACTAGATTCACCAAAAGACCTTTTTCACAGCAGCTATTGGGACATGAAACAGTAGGATAATCACAGGTGTTACCAGTGATACTAATTAAGGTTCTGTTTAGTGTAGCAGAGCGTTGCAGCACCCGGACCCTCCAGAACAGAACAAAAGCTTAATTTGTTTTACTGGTAACATCCGTGTTTGCGCTACTATTTCATGTCAAACTGGCTGCTGTGAAAAAGGTCTATTCTGGTCTTGTGATCACTGAAGAAAAGTGAACACATAATTGTCTGCAATATTACTACTTTTTCTGTTCAATTTAATATAAAACGTATTCTCAAAGTACAAAATGAGACAATACAACCAAGGAATGTGTATAATTGTTAAGAAAAAGCTGAAAATGACCCAAACTTTTATCTCTCTGATCAGACACATACAGTCCTGTGCACATTCATTGCAGAGGAACTGATGACAGTGTTGTCTTTCTTCAGATATGCAGTTCACAAAACTACTCCACTAAATCAAAATCTGCTCAAAGACGGTCGACCAACCCCCTTGAGAAACTCTATAAATCAGCCCACACGTTCAATGTTTCGTTTTAATGTGTGTATCTTTGTTTTTTGTCCTAATTTATGTCTTTTCTGTGATGCAATAAACTGAATTTAATAAAGCACTAATTAGGAGTGAGTCAGCCTCTCTCAGCTGCACCATTACTCAGCAGTCATTATGGGAGGAAAATATCAGCTCAGGACAAAACGAAGGCAAGATATTATTCTCTAAAAGATCTCTAAAAAACAAAACAAAACAAACCTTAATCATTTTTAGAAAAACAGCAAGAAGTTTTGGTCTCGTTAGAGGAGGTTTCACAGCAGAAACACAGGACAGGAGCTCACATCTCTTTAACAGATGCACTGTCATAGTGATAAACTATTGGTGTGAACAAACACCAGCAATAAAAACAACATTCACAACATGTTTACGACTGAATTATCACAGATTTTAAACCTCTGACAGTCAACAAACAACATATAACGGTGTATCTAGCTCATACAAAAGCCTGTGTGGCTGTGAAATATATGTACAGGCCTTATATAGACTATTAATGGTATAGGTTTGTGAAGAATGCAGCTAACTTCATTTAGTAATTTTACAAACAGTTTTATAACGAGAGACTGTTACAAGTTGAATTAGCACACCAGAGCCTCTAGAAAGCACATATCACACATATCACACGGTTCCTCTAACGTTTTGTTGTGTGCTACGTTTACCTGCGTTAGTTCAACCCTTGTTTTTAATGTGAAAACCCCGCAAACGGCGCCGCAGGTGCAGAGAAACCCGTTCAAAGACGTCAACAAGTTGGTTTTCCCGCAAGAAGTCCGAACCAGGAAGCGGAGCGTCATGACGTTTCACCTAGCGTCGAGCGTGATGACGTTTCAATTTCATCACGGAACAACAGCACCCTCTGCAGGCTGCTCCGGATAACAAACTAATACACATTACAGGGTGTTTATTCCCTAAATATTATCAATCTTTACAAACCCTGAATATTTTAAATGCAAAATAGGACCATATACTCTCCATTACGGTAAATAAAATAAAATATAAAATGAAATATATGATGATATGATAATTATGGTCAGATGGATCATGTGAAACTGATGAAATAGCAACAAATGTACAATGTTAAGGAAAAAACATGTACATTTAAATGAAAGAGCATGTTTTTTAATATATCTTAAGATAAGATATTCCTTTATTTATCCCCCTTTGGAGAAATCCAGGTTGACACAGCAGCAATAGGGCAAAGTAATGCAAAACAGAGAACAAAGAATATCACAAATAAAAATATTACGAAATACAAAATATAATAGAAGATATAAAAACTATAAATGAAAGTATATACTTGAACCATGCATAGTTCAAGTATGACCTGAAGTGACAGGGCTGGTGTTAGGACCGGACCCAGGAGCAGACACCCAGACAGTATGGAAGGTTTAAAGGGGGTTTTATTCCACGCACACACACACACGCAGGGGGGATGAGGGGCGGCCACAGCAGGAACGGGTGGGTGAGATGGCGGAAGAGACCGGAGACACAGAGGCACAGGTGAGCGGACACAGGAAGCCAAACTGCACAAAGGGACCCTGGGGCACGGGAGAGAAACGGTTAGACAAGGGGACAGGCACAGGGAAAACACAAGAGGGCTTGAAGTTGCCTAACTTAATACTGAGAGGAGCCACGAGAGTTACCACCACATAGGCTGAAACAATCTGGCGATGAATGGGAGGAAGACCGGGGTTCTTGAAGACTGAGGAATGATGAATGATTGAGAGCAGTTGAGACAGCAGGCAGCAGGTGAGGAGAATGGAGGCCGCACCCTCAGACACACAGGGAAGGGGGAGGAGCAAAGGGAGCAGGAGGGGAGCAGAGCCATGACATGAAGTGCAAAATATGAGCAAATTAAACTTGACTAAAACTAAAAAACTAAACTGTACAAGTGGAAATTAAATATAAATAGTGCCAAAGGTTTATGCATTGTAGGGAGGAGCTTTAAACCAGTCTGGGGGGGTCGGAGGTACTGGGTACATTCTTCTGCATACATGCACCATATTTGCCTATATCTCCCTAAAGCAAGCTGGTCAATAAATGAAAAATCAGATAAATTCTCTGGAGGGTCAAGACTCCTGAATCAGGACCGGCCAACTTAGTCTTACATTGTGTAAAAAAAACACAAACAAAACAATATGAATAAATGCTTTATTGAAAACATAGAATTATTATATATAAAATACATTATCAAATATAGCAGGTCCTTTTATAGTCCATTCATGTGATTCTTTTCCACATGCTAGTAATTTAAAACTTAAACAGTAAAACATTTCATTGTCTAATGTCGCTCAGTGCATAGTCAGATATTTATCTTACTCTCTAATGTTAACCAAAGCGTATAAACAACTGCATATTTCAGATTAAACAGAAGCTCACAGTAATGAATAATGTGATTTTTTACCTGAGATAAAGAGTCTGGCATCCACCAGAGTTAGGCAGTAAACATGAAACCAAACATGTGTCTCATTGAAACCACACAACAGGGTCAGAGGTCGTCCATCATGGCCAGCAGGTCGTCTCCTTTGCTGCTGCTCGGGTTGTCCGACTCCTCTTCTCGTTCTGCAAACTGTCCGGCGATTCGAGCCAGCTCAGTAGCAGCCTGTTCGTCCTGAATGAACAAATATCACATTTATTTAAGATTGATGAATGATGTGTGATACAATAAGGTGTGTGTACCTTCTTGTAGGTGTTTGTTACATCCTACCTAGTCAATCCATACTGTACCTGCATCGCTTGAATGTTTATCACTCCGCACAAGGACTCCTCAGCTCCACCTGAAGCTTCCCTGTTAAGCAAAATACTTGTAATTAATACCGGGTGATTAATCGCAGAGAGTGAGTACAGAAAAAGAAAAGCAACCCACGCCTCCTCCTCCTCCTGGTCGGTGGTAAACAGGCTGATCCGAAAGCCGGTTTCCACTCCGGGCACGTTCTCTGCCTTCATGCTGCCCATCAGACGAGCCAACAGGTTGAGCTCCTCTTTGGCCAGCAGGTTGGGAGCGTCATCTGTCTGCAGCAAGGTGGAGGCGTTACAAGAAGGGTTATACATGGATAGAAAGATGGTCTGAAGCTATCTAGTACAAATTTAGTATAAATTTAAGGAAGTAAAAGTACACAAGATTATCAGAAAAATGTACTTAAAGGGGCGATAAGTACCTTTATTTCTGATACTGTGTGTGTTATATTATTTAAGATATCATTTGATTATTATTATTGGTGTTTCACTAAATTAAGATAATGCTGTATTGAAGAAGACTTGAAACTAGCAATTGAGACCATAAACTCATTAGGAAACTGTTTACTGAGCTTATCAATCAAGTTAGAAGTCGGGTAATTTCTCTATAAGACTGCATGGTGTTGGTTTCTATTGCAGTCAATGGAGCTCCCCCTGCTGGCCTATATATATCTATCTATATATATATATATATATATATATAATGCAGTTTTAAACCCTCCATATCGGACACTTATTATGGACATTCAATAGGCATATGTTCTTAAAACAGAGCTAATCTGCTGTAAAATGTTCATTTTAATGTAGGTGTATTGTTATCAGAGGAACTGTACAGCTATTCAGGGAAAATTAACATGTAATATATCAATATTAAAAAAAGATAAGGAGCAAAAATACAATCAGGCACATTCGTACTTTTGAGTCTAATGACTTCCCAGAAAGAGGTCCTGGTTTAAATGAGCCCACTAAGTCTAAACCCTCCATACCAGACTACCTATACTATAAGATTACCTTGACAGAGGGAACCTTGGATGTGTGTGTCTCCTCTGGATGGTTCACATTGTACCTTTTTAATCATAAAACACAGCAGCATCAGCCTCTAATCCACCTTTATGTTACCCATATAAGTTACAGTATATGTGATTTAGTAGCATACGGTTCATACATGTTCGTGCCCAGTCTGATGACTCTGTCTCCATGCAGCTCAAAGGATCCCTCCCTGATGGGGCTGGTGTAACTTCCTCCTGTGGGGAACTCACTCCGTCTCACTTCTCTGCCCTTACTGTTAAACGTCCTGTTGAAACAGGAAGCAGATGATGACACTCTGGGAACACTGAGATGTTTTTCTCACGAAGCGGTCGAGAGGAAATCGGTGACTAAAATATATAATGCCAGTACTGGAGGTCTAGTGTTGAATTAGTGTATAAAGGTGAGGTTGATATTTAGTTGTGAAACACTAACACCACTCATCCACAGGCTACTTCTCAGTTTCCCGAGTGAATAATAGGCATATTTGTGAGTTGCTAGATCCTTAAATGAAAAAGAACATATATTTTTTAAGCTTAAATTATTAAAAATGATCTTTCTAGCTGTATTATAAAGGTTAGCTGTAACTTTAGACAATTAACTTCTCTGTTAACTACTGTAAAATAAACTCTTAAAGAGGAATTTCATATTTCATTGCTTTTTTTTTTGAGAAACTGAAACATGTTATTGAACGTTACAGCTAACTTCATAGTAACACATCTCTACAGCTACATGCGGTGCTTTTCAATTCACATTCAACATCTACTGGATGGATTGGCATTACATTTGGTGTAGACATTCATGGTCCCCAGATGATGAATACTAATGACTTTGGTGACCCCCTTTACGACCCTCTAGCGCCTCCATGAGGTTGGAAAAGTTTCAAACAGCTATTAGATGGATTGCCTTTAAATTTAGATCAAACATTCATGTTCCCCTGACATCATCAGCTCAGCATTTCAAGTCTATCCCATCGGATTATGACAATATACTTGCCAAACTAAAGTACTGGACAAATGGTATTAGTTCTGTAATTGAGTAAGCTGATTAAACTTGAACTTATTTGACCTTAGCAGGTCCACCAAAATCTGTTTCTGAACAACTTTTAGACAAGAAATAAGCAATCAAGTTGCTAAATCTTCACTCATATTAGATATAAAAAAGCCTAATTTAAAGGTTTCTTCCGACTTTAGTGAGGAAAAGGACACGACTTCACTACTGGTGTTACGGTTTAATGAGTGACCGAGTTAACCGGTGACTGTCAGCAGCTCCTGAATTAAACATAATATATAAATTAAATAATACAGGTGTCTTTATACACATTATAAGAACTTTATGTATATCACGTAGATATTAAACACATGTGTATTTAAGATTAAAGGTAGGCTACGTGTTCTGTTTTTTACATTTAACGATATTTCACCAGTTAATTGAATACTTTGGCTTCTTGGTGTCTTTAGGATTCAATCATCCTCTGGGGACCTCGAACGTCTGCACCAAAATTTCATAGCAAACCACCTAATATTTGTCACAAAATGCTAGTGGAATAGCATTCAGTGCCTCGTTGTTGCTGCATACCTAATAAGTCCTGGAACATCAACCCTATGAGGCACTGGGCCCGAAGTCAACAGGGCAAAGCGTCCGTTGGGATTCTGAACTTGACTTTTGAGGAAAAGTGACACCTGAGAGGAAGACGTAAAGACACAAAATGCCAATTGGAGGAAAAATAAGCTGTTATATATTAATCTCACTTGTATGTATGGATGAGTATAAATAAAAGGACTCACGCGAACATGCATGTCTTGAAAAAATATGAGCAGCGTTTGTCTGAGCAGCTGGAATTCGCCTTCTGATGAAGACGCGTAAACCTACAACAAGAAGAACAGGCTGACAACTGGAAGAAGAAGAAGGGCTGATTTACCCTTGAGGTGTGTGTCAGTAAAAGATTTAGCTCTCGGCATACCTCAATGATCTTCCTATGCGTCTCGTCCACTTGGTTCACGACCGCGGGAGTGTCTTTTACAAGTTCCCTGATGGCGTCTATGTGATTGTAAGAGATGAGCAACAAGTCTTTTGGCCTTGGGCAAACAAAGACCTGATATTTGAACGCCATGATCATCAGCTCGTAAAGCTACAGGAGGAAAAAAAAAAAAAGAATGTGTTGTGAACGCCCCTGCAATAAAAATAAAACTACTTTGTGCTCCCTAACTAACAATTTTCCCTTCACCACCTGTCACAGATTGTTATTCTATAATAACTCATGATGAGTCCTCTGTGTAACATTCAGGAGAATCTATTGGCAGAAATAGAATATAACATTAATAGGTATGTTTTTATTTGTGTATAATCACCTGAAAACAGGAATTATTATGTTTCAGTTACCTAAGAATCTGTTTTTGATCTATAGAGGTAAAAACAGCTCATGTTTCTACGGTAGCCTAGAACAGACAAACCAAACACTGGTTCTAGATTAAGGCCTTATGTGTTTTTTGGGAGTTTTGCGTCCACAATAGTTTCTCCTACTCGCTTCGAAGGCTGAGCTGTATTTAATTCATCACTAGAAACCACTGAATCCTACACGCTGCTCCTTTAAAACACAAAAAATGACTTGACTCATTTTAAGACTTTAAATTATTTCAAACCTCAAGATTTGACCTGGTAATATCCTATGAAACAGAAAAAATGTAGTCTGAGCCAAACAGGCCTTGTCAAAATTCTTAAATCAGAATTAGAAATACTTTATTTTATTTACATTATAATACAATATATAGACGATAGAAATAAGACATGGGAATATCTATTTCACTGTTAAATGCCACTGAATCGTACACGCTGGTGCTTTGAAAGCATCTCTTTCATTCATCTTGTACGCACCCTGTCCATGCTGGCCGGGTTCAGCCTCATGATGGAGGAGTGCGCTAACCGAGTTAGCACCGTTTTCAGGGTCCTGTGAGAATACAGCTGCTGAGGTTTGAGGAGTTCGTCCATAAAGGGTTTACTGAACATGGTCCAAACGATGTCGTTCAGAACTATGAAAACAGAAAATATGATTAATTCTGCAAAGTCGTATTTGATATTAATGCAGTTTGCGTTGTTTCTATAGCAGGTTGATAACAGAGAAGAGTACAGAAGCAATGAAAAGGGTTGAAAAATGGTTTAAAGTTTTCAGTCTGGAAGGCCAAATGCATTTGAAACAGGTTGTTTTGCCTTTCTTTATGCATTTTAGGTGGATTACGAACCTACATAAGACCCAAAGAACAGATCAAATGTGTTGTTTGGGTCACGACCTGCTAAATTAAATAATTTTTTCTCATTGATAAAGCATTTAAATGTGTGTAACTTTTCCTTAATGCACATATTTTGTCTCATAAAGTGAGCTCTGTTTGTTCTACTGAATGAAAGAAAACATGAACCTGTTAACCTCAATGCTTTTATTTTGTAAAAGTATTTAAAATGTGTATTATTTTATTGAAATAAAAACGACGAGACAGCCTGTTGTTGGTCTTATTCATAAAGTATTGAATGTGTGTTTTCTGTAAAACATTCATTAAAACAAAGTTGTGATTTATCAAACGTTTATCTCTTCAAAATGGCTGCTTTACCTGTTCATTTAAGGACACTTTTGCTCTTCTCACTGTGAATTGGGTTGCTAGTGACCATTTCATCAAATTGTATTAACTACTGCCTCATTTATGTGGACCAAAACACATAATTACCAACATAAGACCCAAAAAATGGGAAATCTAGACACAGAATCTACAAACAAAATGTGTTCTTTCACCTTTCTTTTAATTATTTCCAGTCCATGAATTCAGTGTATCTCTATCTTTTTAAGTGTCTGTCTGTCAATCATTCACTTTTGCATTATGTGGAAGTCAATACTGAATGAATCTAACACTACAATTAAATAAATATGTGAAATAAATGAATTAATCCCACCGAATCGAATGAATTCTACTCAGTTAGTTACTTAGCTATTCTGCTAAGCTAATGACTGTGAGCTACAATTTCTAGGCCTAGTTTAATCAATATTGTATTATAGCTACTGCCTCATTGATGTGGACCAAAACACAGAATTAACAACATGTTAGTTCATCAAAGTTGTTATTTTTTTGGACAATATTACGATTAAAGTATAATCAGTCAGCAAATCTGCTTTTATTTTTTGTTTTTTTACTGCCAACATTTTACATTTATATGGCATAATATTTTTTTTATACGATAAAACAAATGCCAAAAAGTCAAATATGTAGATATCTGTGTTTTGGCCATGTAGACTACTACTGTATCTCACAAAGGGACCTCAGTTTACAGTAATTAGCATTACAGCTAACACTGTGCGGACACTACGGGGGCGGAGGGAGCAGATTAAACAATAATATGCTGCAGTATGGCGTGGATACCTCTTTTTCTGTCATTCTCTGACCACACCCCTGCATCCGAGTGCGGTTTTCCAAGAAAGAAAAGAAAGGAAATAGCCTTGTCATTTGAGGTATTGTGTATGAGAAACATGAGATGCTCATGTTGAGTTTATAAGCTGACACCTGACAGGTACAGTTCTGACAGGAGGAGGGAAGACTCAGGGGCTAAGCAAGCCTGTCAGTACTCTAGCTACCTCTACCTTTTTCTGAATTGTCCTCAGACGTGTTGTGAGCTCGCAGTCGTTGGTCCAGTATGTAAAGCATCTCTCCACCAAGATTAATGAAAACCAGGGGCAGAGTTCTCACAGACATCTTGCAAAAGACAAAGAAGGGATTAACTCCTGGGCAAAAGCTGGTGCAGAAAGTTAGGCGTTAGAAGCAGTTGAGCCCCTTGGTGGATCAAAAGCACTCTCGTCATTTAAAAGGCATTATCTTATTGTTCTTGTGGTGAATTTCCCACTGGATAACAAACTGTCCATGTTAAGTCTTATCTGATCATGCTTCTGCAGATAACCTGTCGCACTAAGATGCAACAGGTGGCCAGGAAGAGGATCAGCAAAAGGCCAGACGCAAGCTTATTGGCCAGGATGAGGGTGACAGGACAGTACAGCACAACCAATCACAGAAACTGCTATATATATACAGTATGTGTTCAATTTCTGGAAAAAGACAGCAAAACTGTGCTTTATATGTCTGTTGACAATGATTACAGTAAGATGCAAACACGAAAAATAAACCCTAGAAACTAAATAATGTCATAGAATCTGAGGACAGAGGCTGTACAGATTGTGAAGCCCCCCGAGGCAAGGATTTTAGGCTTTATTAAAACACTGCATCACTGAACGTATGAGGTAACCTGAAAAGTATGTGGACAACTTAACATTGCACCCATACACTGATCAGCGATAACATTGTGAGCACTGACAGGTGAAGTGAATAACACTGGTTATCTTGGTATCATGGCAGCTGTCAGTGGGTGGGATGTGAAGCAAGTGAATATTTTCTCCTCAAAGTTGGTGTGTTAGAAGCAATCTAATATTTTTTTTTTTTTTTGCAAGAAATATCACAATATCCATACAGGAAGCTATGGCCAAAAGTATGAGACACTATTGTCAGCATACTTTGGGTTTGGGGCTATTTTTAATGGTTTGCCCCTCAGTTCCAACACAGAGTATTCACAGAGTTTAGATGAGTAGTTTGACGCCACTCATATGTCTCATGCTACGGCACCCTCACGTAATTTGCATGGCCCTCAATCTTTATTATGAATAATGATCATACACAGAGTTTGTCTGACACTGAAACACAATCCACACACTACACCCTCATGTTCAAAATGTTCTGCATACTTTCAGTCAGCAGAGTAATATTTGATGGGTCTTGTCGGGAACTTTACCTGCCTGAAGCCTGTTATCAGTCACACGTATGTAGAATAGGAAGGCGACGACTTAGTCCTGAGGTTTTCAACAGTTAAGATTTTAAGGGAGATTTAAAAGGTCAAGTGTGTAACATTGAGGAGGATCTAATGCCAGAAATGGAATATAATATTTATAGGTGTGTTGTTAAATAGCTTCTCCTACACACTTCACAGCCTGTTCTTATTCGCAGGTTGTCAAATACAAACACGAGCGGTTGCAATCTGCAAATTCACCGCGCAAATATGCGCTCAAAAATCTTCTATTAATTTAGTTTAGGTCCTGGATGAATGCTACACACAGTGAGTTAAGGATACCTGTAGTTGTATCTCCTCTGAAGCCACATTTTCCTAACTATACGATATCATCATGTTCACTTTTACGATGCCCACACTTCTTTGTCTCTTTCTTTCTCTCACTCTACCTCCCATTTCGAATAAAAGATTAGAGAGTAGAAACATGCAAATGAAAACTTTATCTTTATGTACACTGGAGCAGCTCGCTCCAACGGAGACAACTGCCTATTTGTCATAGTCATGTCGACGGTTGCTTTCCAAGTGCTTTACAAATTGACTGTGGAGACAAAAATGTAAACATCTGGGAAAAAGAACCGAACAAATCCTGACTGATCTCACCGGCGATTAACCAACAAACCAATTATGGGGATCGATCATTATCTCTGGCTTCTGTCACTGTAAGTTTAACCTAATATTGATAATTGTATTGTGTTTTTTACTTATTCTCACCATATCTCACTACTCTGCAAATAAGAATATGCTTTAACACTTAAACTAAGTGATTTTTATTTGCTTGTTGTTAAATAATGAATTTTATCTAATGTTGAAATATCCAAAGAAATATTAAAATTAGCAAGTATCCTGTCTTCCCCACCCAGAATAACCACCTGTTCGGGTTCAGGGACAGGTTTCAATGATTATTCAACCCTAAATCAACAAGATTATAACCTGAACTGGATGAAATCCATCCCTGATGAGACTCCAGTATCTGCTATCTCCATTCCTGGAACACATGAAAGCTTATCATTATACGGAGGACCACTTGCCGTATGTCAAGTTTGGGATTTGGACAAGCAACTTAATGTGGGAATACGGTATTTTGATGTGCATGCTGGGATTTGGCTATCTGTCCAAAACCATATTTATATCCGTGATAGTCACTGGATGTTTTGGCAACATATTCAATTTGATAAAGTCCTGAAGATCATTTTTAATTTCTTAGGGAGGAACAAGAGTGAGACTGTGCTTTTGAAAATTAAAATACATGGGTTTTTTGAGAAGAAGGTCTTACAAATGATAGATGAATTGATTAAAAAGTTCAAAAACAAAATATGGACTAATTTGTCAGTACCAAACATGAAACAGGCAAGGGGAAAGATTGTTTTACTCCAGAGTAACAGCTTCCATCAAGGAACAGTAAACATTAAATCGTTTTTCATCAAATATGACAAGCTAATCAATGTTGAAGAAAAAATAAAGGAATACAAGTCACACCTCTGTAACCATCACGTTGTGCTGACTGACACTGCAGCATCATTTCATCAAAGTCCTAAAACGTTGGCTAAAACAGTTAACAAGAAGCTTAATAACTTTGTTGTGGAACATAAGAAAAAGTCCGTAAACCAAGGTTGCTTAGGGATCTTAAGTGTGAACTTCCCCAGTGCGGAACTCATTAAAAACATAATTCTACTCAAACCGTGCAACTGTGGGGAAGGTGGAAAGAGAGAGGAGCCTCAAACGACGACTGAGCTGCAAACGAAACAGGACATAGAAAAAACAACTGAACCCGACTCTACACCTGAACCAGGACCACCAACATCTGGGCAAGATTCAGAGCCAACATCTGCACAAGAGCCTGAACCAGAACCACCAACATCTGGGAAGGATTCAGAGCCAACACCTGCACCAGAGCCTGAACCAGAACCACCAACATCTGGGCAAGATTCAGAGCCAACACCTGCACCAGAGCCTGAATCAGAATCACCAACATCTGGGCAGGATTCAGAGCCAACACCTGCACCAGAGCCTGAACCAGAACCACCAACATCTGGGCAGGATTCTGAGCCAACACCTGCACCAGAGCCTGAACCAGAATCACCAACATCTGGGCAAGATTCAGAGCCAACACCTGCACCAGAGCCTGAACCAGAATCACCAACATCTGGGCAGGATTCAGAGCCAACACCTGCACCAGAACCTGAACCAGAACCACCAACATCTGGGAAAGATTCAGAGCCAACACCTGCACCAGAACCTGAACCAGAATCACCAACATCTGGGCAAGATTCTGAGCCAACACCTGCACCAGAGCCTGAACCAGAATCACCAACATCTGGGCAAGATTCAGAGCCAACACCTGCACCAGAGCCTGAACCAGAATCACCAACATCTGGGCAGGATTCAGAACCAACACCTGCACCAGAGCCTGAACCAGAATCACCAACATCTGGGCAAGATTCAGAGCCAACAGCTGCACCAGAGCCTGAACCAGAATCACCAACATCTGGGCAAGATTCAGAGCCAACACCTGCACCAGAGCCTGAATCACCAACATCTGGGAAAGATTCAGAGCCAACACCTGCACCAGAACCTGAACCAGAATCACCAACATCTGGGCAAGATTCAGAGCCAACACCTGCACCAGAGCCTGAACCAGAACCGCAAACATCTGGGCAAGATTCAGAGCCAACACATGCACCAGAGCCTGAACCAGAACCACCAACATCTGGGCAAGATTCAGAGCCAACGCCTGCACCAGAGCCTGAACCAGAACCGCCAACATCTGGGCAAGATTCCGAGCCAACGCCTGCACCAGAGCCTGAACCAGAACCGGCAACATCTGGGCAAGATTCAGAGCCAACGCCTGCACCAGAGCCTGAACCAGAATCGGCAACATCTGGGCAAGATTCAGAGCCAACGCCTGCACCAGAGCCTGAACCAGAACTGCCAACATCTGGGCAGGATTCAGAGCCAACACCTGCACCAGAGCCTGAACCAGAATCAAAAACATCTGGGCAAGATTCAGAGCCAACACCTGCACCAGAGCTGGAATTACCAACATCTGGGAAAGATTCAGAGCCAACACCTGCACCAGAACCTGAACCAGAACCACCAACATCTGGGCAAGATTCAGAGCCAACACATGCACCAGAGCCTGAACCAGAACCGCCAACATCTGGGGAAGATTCAGAGCCAACGCCTGCACCAGAGCCGGAACCAGAATCGGCAACATCTGGGCATGATTCAGAGCCAACAGCTGCACCTGAGCCTGAACCAGAATCACCAACATCTGGGCAAGATTCAGAGCCAACAGCTGCACCAGAGCCTGAACCAGAACCACCAACATCTGGGCAAGATTCAGAGCCAACAGCTGCACCAGAGCCTGAACCAGAACCGCCAACATCTGGGCAAGATTCAGAGCCAACAGCTGCACCAGAGCCTGAACCAGAACCGCCAACATCTGGGCAAGATTCAGAGCCAACAGCTGCACCAGAGCCTGAACCACCAACATCTGGGGAAGATTCAGAGTCAACAGCTGCACCAGAGCCTGAACCAGAATCGCCAACATCTGGGCAAGATTCAGAGCCAACAGCTGCACCAGAGCCTGAACCAGAACCGCCAACATCTGGGCAGGATTCAGAGCCAACACCTGCACCAGAGCCTGAACCAGAACCACCAACATCTGGGCAAGATTCAGAGCCAACACCTGCACCAGAGGCTGAACCAGAACCACCAACATCTGGGCAAGATTCAGAGCCAACAGCTGCACCAGAGCCAGAACCACCAACATCTGGGGAAGATTCAGAGCCAACAGCTGCACCAGAGCCTGAACCAGAATCACCAACATCTGGGCAAGATTCAGAGCCAACACCTGCACAGGAGCCTGAACCAGAATCACCAACATCTGGGAAAGATTCAGAGCCAACACCTGCACCAGAACCTGAACCAGAATCACCAACATCGGGGCAAGATTCAGAGCCAACACCTGCACCAGAGCCTGAACCAGAACCGCCAACATCTGGGCAAGATTCAGAGCCAACACCTACACCAGAGCCTGAACCAGAACCGCCAACATCTGGGCAAGATTCAGAGCCAACAGCTGCACCAGAGCCTGAACCAGAACCGCCAACATCTGGGCAAGATTCAGAGCTAACAGTTGCACCAGAGCCTGAACCACCAACATCTGGGGAAGATTCAGAGCCAGCAGCTGCACCAGAGCCTGAACCAGAATCGCCAACATCTGGGCAAGATTCAGAGCCAACAGCTGCACCAGAGCCTGAACCAGAACCGCCAACATCTGGGCAGGATTCAGAGCCAACACCTGCACCAGAGCCTGAACCAGAACCACCAACATCTGGGCAAGATTCAGAGCCAACACCTGCACCAGAGCCTGAACCAGAATCACCAACATCTGGGCAAGATTCAGAGCCAACAGCTGCACCAGAGCCAGAACCACCAACATCTGGAGACGATTCAGAGCCAACAGCTGCACCAGAGCCTGAACCAGAATCACCAACATCTGGGCAAGATTCAGAGCCAACAGCTGCACCAGAGCCTGAACCAGAACCACCAACATCTGGGCAAGATTCAGAGCCAACACCTGCACCAGAGCCTGAACCAGAACCACCAACATCTGGGCAAGATTCAGAGCCAACAGCTGCTCCAGAGCCTGAACCACCAACATCTGGGGAAGATTCAGAGCCAACAGCTGCACCAGAGCCTGAACCAGAATCACCAACATCTGGGCAAGATTCAGAGCCAACAGCTGCACCAGAGCCTGAACCAGAACCACCAACATCTGGGCAGGATTCAGAGCCAACGCCTGCACCAGAGCCTGAACCAGAACCACCAACATCTGGGCAAGATTCAGAGCCAACATCTGAACCAGAGCCTGAACCAGAACCACCAACATCTGGGCAAGATTCAGAGCCAACACCTGCACTAGAGCCTGAACCAGAACCACCAACATCTGGGAAAGATTCAGAGCCAACAGCTGCACCAGAGCCTGAACCAGAACCACCAACATCTGGGCAGGATTCAGAGCCAACACCTGCACCAGAGCCTGAACCAGAACCACCAACATCTGGGCAGGATTCTGATCAAACACCTGAACCAGAGGCTGAACCAGAACCACCAACATCAGGGCAAGATTCAGAGCCAACACCTGAACCAGAGCCTGAACCAGAACCGCCAACATCTGGGCAAGATTCAGAGCCAACAGCTGCACCAGGGCCTGAACCAGAACCACCAACATCTGGGCAGGATTCTGAGCCAACACCTGCACCAGAGCCTGAACCAGAACCTCCAACATCAGGGCAGGATTCTGAGCCAACACCTGCACCAGAGCCTGAACCAGAATTGCCAACATCTGGGCAAGATTCAGAGCCAACACCTGCACCAGAGCCTGAACCAGAACCGCCAACATCTGGGCAGGATTCAGAGCCAACACCTGCACCAGAGCCTGAACCAGAACCGCCAACATCTGGGCAAGATTCAGAGCCAACATCTGAACCAGAGCCTGAACCAGAACCGCCAACATCTGGGCAGGATTCAGAGCCAACGCCTGCACCAGAGCCTGAACCAGAACCGCCAACATCTGGGCAAGATTCAGAGCCAACATCTGAACCAGAGCCTGAACCAGAACCGCCAACATCTGGGCAAGATTCAGAGCCAACACATGCACCAGAGCCTGAACCAGAACCGCCAACATCTGGGCCAGATTCAGAGCCAACACCTGCACCAGAGCCTGAACCAGAACCACCAACATCAGGGCAAGATTCAGAGCCAACACCTGCACCAGAGCTTGAACCAGAATCACCAACATCTGGGCAAGATTCAGAGCCAACACCTGCACCAGAGCCTGAACCAGAACCGCCAACATCTGGGCAAGATTCAGAGCCAACACCTGCACAGGAGCCTGAACCAGAACCACCAACATCTGGGCAGGATTCAGAGCCATCACCTGAACCAGAGCCTGAACCAGAACCACCAACATCTGGGCAAGAGTCAGAGCCAACACCTGCACCAGAGCCGAACCAGAATCTCGAACATCTGGGCAAGATTCAGAGCCAACAGCTGCACCAGAGCCTGAACCAGAACCACCAACATCTGGGAAAGATTCAGAGCCAACACCTGCACAGGAGCCTGAACCAGAACCACCAACATCTGGGCAAGATTCAGAGCCAACACCTGCACAGGAGCCTGAACCAGAACCACCAACATCAGCGCAGGATTCTGAGCCAACACCTGCCCCAGAAAATGAACCAGAATCGCCAACATCTGGGCAAGATTCAGAGCCAAAACCTGCACCAGAGCCGGAACCAACAACATCTGGGCAAGATTCAGAGCCAACACCTGCACCAGAGTCTGAACCAGAAACAACAACACATCAGCATGAGCCTGTGCTTCCACACACTGTGCCTGAACCAGCACCTGCACCAGAATCATCAACATCTGAGCAGGATTCAGAGCCACCAGTTGATTCACACACCACACCTGCACCAGAGCCTGAACCAGAATCACCAACACATCAGCATGAGCCTGTGCTTCCACACACTGTGCCTAAACCAGCACCTACACCAGAATCATCAACATCTGAGCAGGATTCAGAGCCACCGGCTGATTCACACACCACACCTGCAGCAGGACCTCAAGCGGAATCACCAACATCTGAGCATGACTTGAATGTAACCCCTGAGTCACACACCGCAGATGAAGATAAAGAACACTTCAGTGAACATGATTCAGCTGAACACAGACCACAACTGATAAATCCACCAGCTACTATACCAGAAGCGATACCTGAGTCATATCCCGCTGTGCTCCCTAACATCCCTCCTGCAATAGTGCGCAAGCCAGAACCTCAGTGGAGAAGGCGAAATTGTCACAGAGGGTAAATTGAATAAGAAATGTATCACTTAAGTAAATCAGATTATCTTGTACAATTCTGGAAAAGGATGTTTTATTCTGAAAACATAAATAAATTGTAAGAAAAGGTGGAACAGTTGTTTGTCCTCTAATTGACTAACTTCATTTAATACTCACCTGCATTGCTAGAAACAAAAGTGCATGTATTTGGTGTTATACTGGTGTTTAAAGAGGAATATAGTAACACTTAAGACAGCAAATAAGATAAAAATGTGATATACACGAAAAGAGGAAAACAATAAATTAACAAAATATTTTCTGTCAGTCCTGTACAGTGATGTCATCGCAGTTGAAGGTACGTGGTGATGTCGTAAACTTCCTCCATCACATTACATAAATCCAACCACATAGCCAGTAATCTACATGGATATTAATTAAATTAAATTTTAATGGTGTTTACAAACTAAATGATTACATATGTACACCTCATCAACATGAATATACTTTATGTCAGTGGTAGGAAGGAGGGAGATTACTGAATTTAGAGGTTATTTTTAGTAATCTTAGACTTTAGTTTAGTTAGAAGATTGTTTGAATTCTGAGGTCAAAATTTAAGAGGCAGAATTTCAGGTTGGAATTTGGATGTAAAAGTCAAGAAATAGTCAAAACCTCCTGACTTGAGAGCTTAATTCCTCAAAGTTTAATAAGAATATTAAATGTACAGAAACATTTAACTTTATTCTTAAAGTACCAATGTGTAGGATTTACTGGCATCAAGCGGTGAATTTGCAGATTGCAACCGCTCGTGTTTGTATTTGACAACCTGCAAATAAGAACAGGCTGTGAAGTGTGTAGGAGAAGCTATTTAACAACACACCCATAAATATTATATTCCATTTCTGGCATTAGATCCTCCTCAATCTTACACACTTGACCTTTTAAATCTCCCTTAAAATCTTAACTGTTGAAAACCTCAGGACTCAATCGTCGCCTTCCTATTCTACATACGTGTGACTGATAACAGGCTTCAGGCAGGTAAAGTTCCCGACAAGACCCATCAAATATTACTCTGCTGACTGAAAGTATGCAGAACATTTTGAACATGAGGCCTGTAATTTTCAAGAACCTCTTGACCCTTGTTGTTCCACTTCGGTCAAAGCTGTAAATCAACTGAGACTTGTAAAGTTGTCTTTAGGTAAAAAGAAAATACGTACATATTGCCTATAGCAGTGACTGAGGTCAGGACCCTTGTAAAACTCTGCAAAATTACATATATTTCTGCTTATTCTGTAAAAACCCTTTTAACACACAGGAAAAAATCACTTTGTGGTTGTGTAATGAACTTAAAATGTGTTGTTAATACTCAAAACACACCACTAAATCTCTTTATAAGCTGAAATAAAAATAAAGTCCAACCCACAAAAGATTCAAAAGAAGAAAACAAAATATTTTCCCACAATGTGATTTTATTACGTTAAAAGTTTTTATTTTATCTTAGTATGATTTATACTTACATGGTACATTTTACTCAATGAATTTGTGCCTGATTGATCAAGACTACACCAAGTGATTAACATTTAGAGAGCGAATGTTTGCCCTCACAACATTAAATATATTAAATAATATAAATTATGGTCTCTTAAATACACTGTTGAGTGCCACAGAACATGTAGGACTATTTTTAGTGAAACAACAACAAAAAAAATGGTGGCGAACAATTGTGAAATTAAAAATAACTTTTAGTCATCTCTCTTTTACACAGAGGTGGGAAGCAATTACGTGCATATACTCATGTACGGTTTTGAGGTATTTGTACTGAATATTTCCATTTTCCATGAAATATGACTTTATACTTCTTCTCCACTACATTTCAGAGGCAGATATTAGACTTTTTACATCACTGCAACATGAGTTACTGGTTACTTTGCAGATTCAGAATAATAATACAAAATGTGTCCAACAAAGAAATTATGTATTATAATGTATTATTACAGATTAACAGATTAATTAGGAATTTATTGATCCCCGGGGGAAACTCACAGCTAAAGTGTCCTCTTGTTTGCCCCATATGGTAGCTAAAACACAGTAAAGTGCCCTTTAGGGCAGTGGTTCCCAACCTGGAGGTCTGGACCCCCACTAGTGGTCGCCAAAGCTTCACAGGGGGTCAAAAGGCCTTCTTAATTTTAAGGGGTGTAAGAAAACTTAAAAATATTCACAGCAGGGCTACATCTTGACACTTAATTTTTTTCTGTGAAAAAAACTAAATTAGGTTTAAAGATTATTATTAAAGATCTAAACTCTGAAGACCTGAACCTGAAGTTATATTCAGCAGAGCCTTTACTGTCTCATAAGCAGCCTCTTAGAAAAGTTGTTTAAAAAAAGCTCAAAATTGATCCAACTTCCAGCAGTTATTATGTTATATTATATTATGTTATTGTGTTCACTGTTTGAGTTCATTGTACAGTTCATCAGATGTTCTCTACTCTTATCGTTATACTTAACCCTATAACGCCAAACGTATCATATGTGATACATGAGTTTTTGAGCCCTCCACATGAGCAGTGTGACAATTTTTTTCCCTGAAAAACCCGATGTATACAATTATATAATGCAGTGCACGGATAATCCACCAGGGGGCAGTAATCTGCTCACTAGAGGGCTTTCCAGCCATGCTACAAGACTGCCATTAATCAGGAAGTGGACACATGTGGTTTCTTCCAGACTTCCCTGCCAGTTCCATTGCTGCATTGCTTTTGTTGGTGTATTTTTTGTTCAAGACAAAAAAGAATCTTTGAGCATTGTGACCCGCTGTATCAAATATGATACAAATTAAAACTCCTATATGGAAATTGATATTTGAATTTTTTTTTTGGTATGTTCAGAAGGACCAATAAAGGCTCCAGTTTCAAAGAATTGGAATTTTCTGACAATTATTTAATAGTTTGGGCTTTACAGGGTTAAATATAACATGAAATATCCATAAAATATGTCACATAATCAATTTAATGAATGACAGAAAATGGTTGGGGCCCTTTTTTAAAAGCCTTTAAATTAAAACCATAAATTATAATAATAATATACAGGTATTTATTCCCCCTAATGTTTCCTCTCTTATTGGTGTGTAATTGATAAAGCGGTGGATGAGTCAGAGAACATATATTGCAGCATGTGACTCTCCCAAACCTCCACGTTGCTCGCCGGCTGCTGTGTGTTGATGATGTGCAGAGGAGGAAGGAAAGAAAAGGAAAAAATACCCAACTTCCTTGTCATCGAGTGTCAACTCCGTCAGACGTTTTCTGTTCGCCACATTCAGCAGTTGTCAGTCGACTGAACCGGAGCGAATAAAGGCGCATTTAACAGCCCATGAGAGGATTTTAAGGTAAGTTTGTTTCTCTTGTTTCGTTAAGTTGACGCTCAAGTGAAACACACAATGAGACTTGTGTGTTTACAGTGGATCCACCACAAAATGAGAAGTTTCACTGTGATTTAATTCATTTAGATGGTGAGACAATGACAGAATATTCTTTGTTGTGATCGATTATTTCCTCTCTCACTTCTCATTTTATTATTTCTTATACCACATTAAACTTTTGTCGGATGGGTTAAAGATAAAACACTGCTGTGTCAGGACGTAAACATTTAGTCGATTTATAGATTTTGTTAGATTATGTTAATACTTTTGTCATACAAATTAAGTTTATTAGTCTGATACTTATCAAAACCAGCGTTACAAATGTATAAATTAAGTTATAATAATAGTAGTAATGTATGAATAAACAGGCAGGTGTAGTAAAAGAGGTAAAATGCTAATATTACAATTATAATTTTAAACTTTAGTCATTTAACTCACAAGGAATGTCAAATATTCACTAGTTTCAGCCTCTTAAATGTGATCATTCTCAACTTTTCTCTTTTTAAAAATCACTATAAAGTGAATATTTCTAACACAGTAAGACATTTGAAGACATCTTAGGCTCTAGGAATCTGGGATGGGCATTTTATAATGATTCTTTTTATAGACATAAAAATGACTCAATATAAATAAATATAAAATAAAATAATGTGATTTAGGACAAAATAAACGTGTTTAAGATAGAAAGAAGAAGAAAAATCAAGTCAACTTGAGATAAGTTGTATTAATTTACGTTTGCAAAGTTTCTGCAAAGTTTCATAATGAAACTAGGGCTCCAATAATGATTATTTTCATTTATTTCTTAATCAGTTCATAGTTTTTATCTATAAAATATGAAAAAAAACCCAAGAGGATGTGTTAAAATCCCTTGTTTTATCCGACCAACAGACCAAAGATATTCAGTTTATTATCATATATGACAAAGAAAAGCAGGTTTATTACTAAACTGTAATTAATGGATCATTGCTGTAGTCTTTCAGGTTTACAGTGACAGTTATAATGTGTTGTAATGTTTCCAAACAGGTGGGAAATGATCGTGAGCGAGGAGAGATGAACACTCTCTTCCTGTCAGCTCACCTGTGGAATAAAATCCCAAACGAGACCTCTCTGAACCTCACAGACTCTGACACTTCTGCATGGATCTTCCCTTCACTTCCCCGAGCTCCAAACTCCTCCCTTCGTCCCTCCCGTGAGAGCATGTTTCCCTGCGAACCTGACCCTTCCCCGGACCCCCAGCACCTGGAGGTCCAGCTGGACTTCTTCCACAAGCTCGGGTACTCCACGGCTCAGGTTCAGGCCGTTCAGCAGAATCTGGGCCCCAGCATGGACATAGATAAAGTTCTGGGGGAGCTAGTTAGGGTTGGGGCCAGTCGGAAGGCCAAGCAGGAGGCAAAGCAGGAGGCCAAGCAGGAGGCCAAGCAGGGGCCGGTGACCACCATGTCGGTGCTGGCGCCCAGAGGTGACGTCCAGCCTCCGGGCCCCACCCTGCTGATGCCTTTTACTGCATCATCTCCTCAGAGCCGAGAGGAGAGCGGTGAGGATGAAGACGCTCTCAGACCCGTCGTCATAGATGGGAGCAACGTGGCCATGAGGTGAGAGACTCCAGCTGATTGATTACTCCATCATGTGGCTGCACAATATGATAAAATAAAGCATATTGGGATTATTTTGACAGATGATTCATGAAGAGTGAGAATGACTAAACTGTGTCAAACAAACATGTTTTCTTACATCAGGAGAACAAGATATGTAGGCCAGAGTTGCCCTGCAGCTCTACAGTTAGTTCATTATAAAGCTGTTTGTCACTCCTTTTAACGTCATCGAAACATTGCAGCTTCTTCTTTGTATGTTGCACTTGGCTGTAATGCGAGTTTTGATAATATTGTGATAAATTAAGCAGCCCTATTTTTTTTAAATGCCCCAAATCCAGTGGTTGAATCTTCTCAAATGTGAGGATTTGCTGTTTTTCTCAATGTTTTTTTCCATTTAGATCTGCAACCATTAGGTTATTAGTGGATCGACAGAACATTAATCTACTATTTAAACTATATTTGACTATTTTTTTAAACAAAAACTGGCACTGAATATAAACTTCATAAACTGAGATATTTCTGTGGTATTCTTCAGGTTGGTTGCATCCTTAATTAAAACCTCTCCTGCTCTCACCTTTTCCCCGCCTTATTGCTTGAGGACAGGTAGGGACAGTATAATGCCACAACAAATGATTCAATGTCATTCACAGATGATTGATGATTGGCCAAGTGTTCACGTACGAGGAATCTGACCCCGGTTGCTCTCAATGTACACACACAGAAAAGTGTAAATAAACAGGACAACAAGCTCAACAAAATAGACATAAACTACAATACAAGGGAATATATGTAAACAACAACAATAACATTTGCAGACAATAAGACATTCGTTTCACCCTCCTCTTCCAAGACCTAAAATGCATCCTTTTCAGAGATTCACAAATTTTTTGTGACAAACTGTTCTGAGCTCGTAAAGATAATTACGGTTTGTAAGAGAAAAATGAGTGAGCGGAAAGAGAGAGGTGTGTAAACTCTGTGTGTGTGTGTGTGTGTGCAGAGACGACACGCCCCTCTGTCCTCTGGCCTCTCCCGACCGGGGCACACCTGTTCAGACAAGTTGCAGACAGGCAGCATGAGTATGCAAATCAGAGCACAAGCGTATATGAATGCCTTCTTGTTTCCTTAAAGACAAACACTTCTTATAGTGAAAACACCTCATTTTGACAGAAACAGGCCTTACAGCATTTTAATGCCACCGGCTCTCCTGTAAGTACCTTCTGTCTGTCATTGTGCCATTTGTCTGTTGCTTTAAGCGCTTCCAAAAAAAGGCCTCAAGGGGCCTCCTGAACGTTGAATGTATATTTAGTTGTTGTGCTCATGTTTAAATGGTTGCTTCTCACAGATTTGAAGTCAGCAAGGAGATAAGGTGAACTGCTGCCAAGCTAAACACCCAGAAGGGTTTAAACCACAAACCCGAGAATCAGTATTTTGTGGGTTTCTGCATTGGAGAAGATAAACCTGAAGAGACAAGATTTTAAAAAAAAAATTCACATATTATGTAGTTTTTTGCAGATGTTTCACAATTTTTTTTTTTGCCTTTTTATTGTGAAATACTGGACAATTTTCCTTTTCAGGCCTAAAATTTAAAAAAGGGGAACCTCAGTCTCTGGTTTGAATGCAACCTGGGAATAGTTCAACAATTTAGACAACTTTCCTTTTCTTGTAGGAGTCTCTGCTATCTTCCTGCAGACCATTCAACTCCCTGTGTTATTCTTGTACACTTAACTTTAATTAGTGCGCTTTTAAAGGCACTGCTGGACTGATTGTTATTATATGTTGAGGTCTGGATTGAGTCAGGCTGCCTGTTCTCTGTTTCCAGCCTTCACGGTAAGCTAAGCTAACTGTCTCCCACTCTCAGCATTGATCTCCTCGTCTATATAAAGAGGTGTAATGAGCCACAGAGCCGAACTGTGATTGATTTATTAATTGTACCTCTTGGCAGGGTTGCAGCTTGTTGAGGTAAATCCCCATAAAACATGTTCCTCCTGACACCGAAGGTATTTTATTGGCTGTGTTTATTGACAGCATACACGATTCTCTGTTTTCTTTTCACACCAGTTCACTCACAGTGAACAAACGCGATCGGGAACGTGACTGCGTTTGTTGTAGGGAAATATTATCACAATATTATTGACGTTTGCAGAATACAGGTAAAAATATGTGACAAAACAGCTTTATAATGAATTAATGTCATGCTGCAGAGATTCCCCGACCTACAAATCTTGTGAACATCAGTAAAAAAAACATATTCCTTTGTCTTTTCTTCTTCTTTTGTGAGGTTTTACAACCAGTGAACGATTGAATGTGGTTTATCACACTTACATTTACATTTTATATAATTATTTTAGGGATACATAATTAATTATGATGTTTTTTAAAATTAGTTTTAAAAATCTCACATACGCCCTGCAGTACTCCAAAGTACCTCTAGGGGGGTATGCCTACCATTAATTACGATTTTTGTAAATTCACTGATTCAGATTCTGTATTTTAGCCTGTTCGATTGACGATTAATCAATTGGCTGTAAATAAATCTGCCACACTTTAAATAATTCATTCATAATTTTACATTTTATACGCAAACATGCCAGAAATTCACTCGTTCCAGCTTCTCAAATGTGAATATTGGCTCTTGTCTTAATTTTCTATTAATGTAAATTCAATATCTTTTGCCAATTAAGCAAATTTGAAGATTTTTTAAAAACAATTTTCTGACATTTTAATGCTAAAGAATGAATTGATTAATGGAGAAAATAAACATCAGGTTTACATAGTAATACATAATACTAATAGCATACTTACTTACTAGAAGTTTGTTTAATTGTTAACGTGTGAATGTTTTCTGTTTTTCCTTTCATTCATTCATTCAGCCATGGGAACAAGGAAGTTTTCTCTTGTCTGGGAATCCAGTTGGCTGTGAACTTCTTCCTGGACAGAGGCCACACTGAAATTACCGTGTTTGTTCCATCATGGAGGAAAGAGCAGCCCAGGCCAGACGCTCCCATCAGAGGTAAGAAGCAGGGAATTTTTCTACTTCCTTCTATTCGTGGAACCGTAACAGACACAACACTGTCCTCATTGTGAACAAGTAAACCGAGGCGTGGTGTGAGCGCTGTGAGGATTTTGTGTTTAGGAAAGCAGGTTGTGCAACGTTCTTTTTTTTTTTTTTATCATGTTTGAAATGATACCTGGAATTAGTTCTTGATTAATTAAAACATTTAGAAGTAACACAAACTGTAGTTCCTTAAACGGCCACTTGATGCTGGCTCCAGACGTGAGTCAATCAACATAAGGCCTCATGTTGAACTAAAACAACTATACTCTACATCTTTGTGTTTTAAAATGGATAAAACGAGACATTTAAACACAGTCAACTTGTGATTTGAAGCTTTCACTATTTTTATAGATATTTAATAGACGTAAAACCAGGGTTAGCGCAGGACTCGCTCACTATAATGACTACTGGAGGAAAACCAAGCAGAATTTGAAATTAGTTTTGCTTTGAATAGATCTGAAAGTCAGAGTAAAGATTAAAGAGCTGAGTTGAATTTGCCAAAATGGGAAATACCCCATGTAGGTTTTTTCTCTCTCCAAATGCTCAGTAAATGAGCCGTATCTGTAATCTGTGTAGCCTGTAACTCGAGATAAAAATGTAGGGTTTTTCCGCTGGTTGGTGATGCCAAGAGATAACGAATGATTTGAATTGTCGCCGTCAGTGATTCTGTTCTTTGGTGGCCTACATTTGGAAGCGGCTACTGACACCGCACTGCTTGTTTGCTTTATGTAGATGAACAGATTTCTCACTAAGATAAATCGATTTTTTTTACATGATGGAGTTTTACAGCTCTCAGTTAATATTTAACGAGGTCAAAGCTGTCTGCTGGGAAAAACCCAAATAACAGTGGCTTCCTGAAGGGTTTGTGTCGTTCTTTGTAGGCGGCTTTAATCAGTATTTTTTTTATAATAGATGCATCCTGACAATGTGATAATCTGAAATGGGTCTCTTGTGCAGCACCTACAGAGGATTATCACCTAAACTCTGCAGCTCCCCCTCGGCTCCACTGGGTTTTATAGAGAGTTTCAGCTCGTTGTTTAGCTGCCTGGCTGCAACTCGACTGCTTTGGTTCACTCTCACCGGTCTCAAAAAGAGTTCAGACACAGTTAGAGACTAGCTGGTGGAGCTTTAAGAGCCAGATATTTCCCTCAGGAGTTGGTGGAGACCAAAAACAAAGCTAAAAGAGAGTAAATATTGGACTAAATGATGAATGATGATGTTGTTCCACTACTGCTGGATGTGTAAGTAAGTTTACTTACTTAGGTTATTGCAGGTTTAATAAATCATGTTTTTGAGTCCTTCTCAACTCAAAAACATGTTTTTCTTCTTTGTTCCTACAGTTTTATATCAGAGCTTCACTGTGCAGGATGATTTATGTTCAGAGTTTGACACTAGAAGGATGTTTTTCACATTCATCAACTGACAGTTTCTCTGCGCTCACTGAAAATCTGATTTTAAAGGGGCGTCACAAATAGTTTGAAAGTCAATCCTGGTCCAGTTTGCTACTTCAACTACAAATGTGATGTAGAAACTTGAAGCTTCCAGTGCGCAAACACTGAGAATGAGGAGTTTACAGTGAAGTAGGAGACAGCAGAAAAGGATTTTTAAAGGATTTTAATGTTTAAACAAAAACTAAAACACAACTCCGCCCACACCAGTTCATCTTTCCCAGAATGGGGGAATAAATTAGCTCCATAAAATGCTTCTTTATAAAAGAAAAATAGATATTTATATAACTGTACACCTTATCTATACAGCGTAAAGACAGACAGCGTGGAAAGAAGGGAAATTACACTATTGTTTGCAGAAATAAACCCACAACAGACACACATTGTTGTTCCAGGCAGACTATTATTGTATATATGTGTTAATACATGTCTTCAATGTGACTTTATATTGGCAGATCAGCAAATTCTGAGAGACCTGGAGAGGAGGAAGATTCTCGTGTTCACGCCGTCGCGGCACTTTGCAGGCAAACGGGTGGTCTGCAATGACGACCGCTTCATTGTCAAGCTGGGCTTTGAGTCCGACGGCATCATCGTGTCCAACGACATGTACCGGGACCTTCAGGCAGAGGTGCCAAAGTGGAAGCGTTTCATCGAGGAGAGGCTGCTCATGTACTCCTTCGTTAATAACAAGTTAGTTCAGCTTCTCTGGCTGCTTTAAAAAAAACGTTACCACAGGCAGGTTATAAATCAGTCAATCGTGTGAAGTTATAAGTTATAGACTTATGTTTGAACTTCACCCTGACGCAGGTTTATGCCTCCTGATGATCCTCTGGGCCGCCATGGACCAACCCTGGAGAACTTCCTGCGAAAGTTTCCAAAGACTCAGAAAAAGCTGCCATGCCCTTATGGTGAGAAACCCGTGTAACACATTTCTGGTCCTGCCTAGATTTGTTATGCCTCGGCCTCGGGGGGTATTACGTTTTTATTATACTTTGATTTATGACCAAATGTACGTAATAATAATAACTAAGGCAGTCTCACTCAGTAGTACAGCTCACATGGTGAACAGGGTAAACATTAAGCATATCAACGGTTAAAGAGCACAGCATCTCAGACCAAACTAAACGAGTGAGCGCTACCGCCCACCAGACTCCATTGACAAAAACACAAATTTTGACTCACAGATCATAAAACATACTTCAAAGACAAAAAAAATTCCCCATAAGAGTCTCTGTTAGTCTTTCCACTGTTCCAACAATAGAGTCTGTTTGGTCAAATCAATCATTAATTCACAGAGTCAAATAGGCAAGTTGTTTGCTGTTATAATGTTCTAAATCTTGTGTATATAACCACAGAAACGGGGTTAGCGTAACGGCTAATTGTACTGTAAAGTATGTGATATTTCTAGTGAATGGGCTGAATCCTGCTTTAAAATGTTGTTTATGATTACAAAATTGTCCTTTAAGAGTTTTTTTAACATATAAAACAGTAAAAAGTTAAACATTAGCATGTTAGCATTGTGATTGTGAGAATATTAACAGGCTGACGTTCGCGTGTCGCTCACAGAGTCGCCCAGAGTGGCTGTAGACTCTCATTTTAGTTTGAAGATCATCAGCACTAATAAAATCCTTTGTTTCCTTCTTTCAGGGAAGAAATGCACTTATGGGATCAAATGTAAATTCCTCCACCCCGAGCGAGCCAATCAGTCCAACCGCTTGGTCGCCGACGAGCTTCGAGAGAATGCTAAGCACCCTTCCACTGCTCAGAAGCAGCCTTCAGCTCGCTCGAGTCCCGTGCCCGGACAGAGCCTCGCATTGGTGGAGGATATGGCAAAGAAACTGACTCTGGGACACGAGAGTGGCTCCTTAAAGAAAGACCACAAAAACGAAAACGTGGCTCAGGTGAAGACGAGTCACCGCAAGAGAGCCACAACTAGAAAGGAGAAAACCGGCCAACACTCGTCTTCTGACCATGGCTCAGTGCGACGCAGTGGCTCTCAGGAGCAGCTGGACTCTGGTTTAGGCTCCATAGACAGTCAGCCAATGGAGGCTCCTTGGAGTGATCCCCAGTACGGTGGGCCGACGTACGGGAGCTCCCAGCACACCCACAATGTAAGACAGCCGTACTGCCTTCCTAGAAGTGCACCGTGCAGCTGCTGCTCACATGGCCTTTCCTCTCAGGGGTCCATAGCGGCCTTCCAGCACCAGAACCAGCACCACAACCAGCATTACAGCCTCGGGCCTGTGAGCAGCCGCAGCGCGGACGTGGTTCCCTACGGCCGACCTCATTACGCCAGCTACGGAGCATACCCGGTCAGCATACCCGCGTACAGTCTCACGCAGACAGCAGCAGCAGCAGCAGCAGCAGCAGCAGCAGCAGCAGTACTGGTCCGATCCATTCGGGGCTCACCCTCCAGCCCGCAACCTGCCGAGGGTGAGCTCACATTGGGAGCCTCCGCAGGGGACACAGCCGAGTCCCGCCGGTGAGGAGGAGCGAGAGGTTGTCCGGAAGAAGCTCCTCGCCATTTTTGGTGCCCACTTGGTGGACACGGCCATGGAGCGTTTTCCTCAGGTGATGGATCCACAGATGCTGGTGGCTGAGATCCTCATGCTGCAGAGTCAGAACCGGTCCCTGAGGTGAGACGAGGGCTGGGGGTCCGATCTGAAACCCCCCTCCCTTGCGTCTTCCAGTGGAAAGACTGAAAAGGCCGTAGAAGCCGAATTAAACATGAGTTTATGTTATTTCTTGTATTGTGGTATCCACCTTGCTATATTTGAATGCTTTGAACTGCGTAAGTTGCCCCAGTGAACTGGATACAAGGAGAACCAGTATGAAGTTGATACAAATTGTATCTTTATTTAAGCATTTACAAACAGTGTGCAATTTATTAGGTACAATCAACTTTCCTGTCATAACATCTACTTTTATTTCTCAGCGGCGTTAATTAGACGTTACTGTGAAATGGATGAGATGAATGAAAGGTCTTTGTGTCATATTGGCACTGAACACCGCCTTCACAGCCAATAGTTTCATAGGGTTGGGCCTTAATGAGCATCAACCCTGCAGTGAAAGTGTCATGAATAAATAATACTATTATTATGTACATTTTAATAAAGGCTATACTTTATGTGAGTAATAACTAATCGAATTAAAAACTGGCTTTATACACCCAGTTTTGTTTATTTAATGCGTTTTTGCATTTGTTATTGATACGTGAGTTAGGGACAGAAATGTTTGACAGTGTTTAATGTATTGTTACGTATTTTACATGAGGGCAAATTTATAGACCGTCGACTGAGTACGACAAACCTGGAATGTTCTTGTATGTGTTATGAATGTTGCTTTCTATGAAATAAAAATAAATCTTTTGTAATTAACTCTCATGGTGATTTATGACTTTTTGACAGTACAGACACTTTGTGGGTGTCTGTGTGAGTCTTGTCTGCACAAGTAGATCCTGTCATCACATTCACATGTTTTCATACCTAAAAATCTTATTTAGAAAGACATACACAAGTAAAATGTGTTTTATTGTTTTCTTTATTTTAATACTTTATTGTTATTTCACACAATTGTCTTGCTCCAGTTTTTCAAAAGTTTGTTCAATTGTGTTGTACTGTTTCTGTGTACTTGGCACCTGCGTCACGGCTGTCACATGCAATTTATAAAAGATTTATCATTCCTCGTAAAGTACTAATCAAAATATATTCCACTTTCTGACGTTCTTTGGACACGTAAACAATGTGTGTGTGTGTAGTTGGAGCCTTATTCACATCCTCTCAAGCAACTAGTCTCTGTAACATTTCCCACTTAATGTATTATATTCATGTATGTTTTCATGCCAGAAGATTGTTTTGGTTTCCAACTAAAGATCATTTTCACCATCGATTAATCTGCTCAATCGAACAGGAAAGTATCGAATCGGCCCATAAAATCAGGATGATGTCTTCAATATTCAATTTACCAACATATAAAACAGAGAAAAGTCATTACAAAAGAGCATCTGGAACCTGGAAATGTTTGATGTACTTCCCCAGCTTACACTGAAAATGAATATTGACTGAATACATATTAACTCACTCTAAATACACATTACAGGAACACAGAGGTACACAAGAGAGGATGTGGACCAAAGGAAATGTTCTCCCTAACCCCTCCATATGCAGATCCTGTGACAAAATAAAACTGATGGTTAATCATAAATTAGGTCCCTGAAGAAATAAAATATATATATATATGTATGAATACACTATATCATTAATGAAAATATAGTAAAAGAGGGCCATACAAACATGCACCAACATGTTAAATAAATATTAAATATAAATATATATAATATAAAATTTTCTTTTCACAGGACACATGTCAATCTGTCCTCCCTACAAATAGTAGAAAACATGTTAAATATTGCTCATTTTTGAGCGCTGTCTCTTGTTATTTCCTATTTATTTTCTGTTTATATATTAAGTTGAGTCCCCTGACTTGGTTGCACCCACTACCCTCAATATTGCCACTGGTTTCCCAACCTTTTTCCTTAAGGGACTCCTTTTCTAACATTTAGTAAATGGATTAACTGACATATTTTATAGATATTTCATATTATAATAAAAACTGTAGAATGAACCCAAATAGTGAACTCTGCGACTGCAAGTTGTATGTGTACGTTGTGTGTTGTTTCACAATTCACTGTCTGTATTATGTATTTTTATTTTCTTCACAGAAGTGAAGCAAATGCAGAGATATCGGTGAGTTTTCTTACACTCCTTAAAATCAAGGTGGACTCGTGACCCCCTGTAAAGCTTTGGCAACCCCTAGTGGGGGTCCCAGCCCCCAGGTTGGGAACCACTGGTCTATAACCGTAGTTACGCCCTAAAAATTCAGTAAATTCCCTCAGGTTCATTAAAAACAAAGTAACAAGCCTGTAAAAGGAGGAAACTACATCAGTACAGCAGCAAAGTATTTGTACTTCCCAGCTCAGTATCTAAGTACAGTAAATTTGTGAACTTTATTTAGTTATTCTGACTATGTGCAAATAAGCTGAGAAGTACATGCACGACTATATTTGCAAAACAGGTTTGATGTCTCGGCGTAGCGCTGATGCCTGTGTACTCAAAACATCTCACAGTGTCAACGGGTATTGGTGTTGCAGGTTGAAACCAACATTGTTCAAAAACTTGTTCTCCAACACAAAACCACAACTGAGAGAAACAAAAGCAGCACCGGTCGGTATGTGTTTGCAAGAAGATCAGATAATAATCACAGAGGTGGGAGTTTCATTTTAAATCAGTTACTTACAAATGGGGAGGGGGAAAAAAACTTCCATGAGCTCATCCACAGTCAACACATACTGTGTTTACACAGTGTCGAATATAACGAGCACTGTGGTCAGTAATTACTTCATGTATTGTTACGAGCATTTAGTCTAGGGATAATTAGCAATCAGACAACAAGCCTCTGGAAGGAAAACAGAAAGAAAACCTCTAACATTGATATTTATGACTCATTCACGGAAACAGTTTGACACTGATGTACTTCCCCTGATTACAATGAAATTTAATACTGACTGAATAGATATTAACACACTATACACACATACCGAAGAAAATGTTGCTTTTGTCTAATTTTAGATCTTTTGAGATTAAATAAAACTGACTGTGTGAATTAGGCCACTCAAGCCCATAAAACATGTGTATATATATACACTATATTATTAATGAAAATATAGTGAAATATGCACTTTTTAACGTGTTAAATAAATATTTATGTACAATATAGTTAAAAAAAATTTAGGTGATGTTAGATCACGCCATGTCAGGAGGAGACTTTAGAGCCAAGATTTGGCCTGCAGGCGCTGGGAAGGGCTCTTTTCAACATGTAAATATTAACAGTCGTGTTCTTTGATGCACAATTTTTTGTGTGTGTGTTTATAGCAAAGCCTATTTAAAATGATAATTAACCTATTGAGAAGTCAGGTCAGGTCAGGTATAGCATAATAAAACACAAAACAACTAACCTAACAACGGGGCGCTGCCGATGAGAGGGGCTGCAGCACCCCCAGAAATATGGCATAATGATAACAAGTAGTTCCTAAAAATGTTTAAACTTGTAGGGACTTTATGGATTTACATGTGTTTGTGGTATTTATGGCAGGAAAATTGGTTTTATCCAGTAAAATGTTACAAAAAATTGTGTAAAAATAAACATTAATCTCATGCATTTAGCATTTAGTAAGACATCATCATTACAGACTAACTTTCTCTCAGCACCCTCAACTCTGGCTTACTTTAGCGTCTCTTTGGAAACAAGAGTTGCAGAGGTTGGTGCGACTGTATCGTTCCACATTATGACTGTCACCATGTCTGTTTATTGGAGCCAGCAGCAGTAATGTACAAACATTTTGAATGTATTCAGGGCTGCTTAGGCTCACCTGGTCAAACACATTCTCCTATTATAGCTAAAAAATACACTAAAATATGTTTCTGAAAATATTTTAAGCAAGAAATAAGCACCGCAGTGACAGAATCTGTTTATATTCTTTTTAACACCGCCTGGCTTGTGCATCCCCAATGACTGGAGAGCAAACTGGAGCTCAAATTTGATTGGCCACTTGAAGCTAGAGTGACAGTCGCTGCTATAATATGAAACTAGATAGACCTAACGCATCCGTTGGTACCAACCATGTCATGCTGGAATGCCGGGAAGGGGGCAAAATAATGCTCCAAAGTTAGGCATTTTGGGGAAACTGGCCAGTTTCAAAAGGGATCTCTTGACCTCTGACCTCAAGATATCTGAATGAAAATGGGTCTCCCTTTTGCAGACATACCTACTCTATATTAATCCCATATAGTTTTGGGCAAACAAACATTTGCATGTGGTATAAATGTGTAACTGTATTGGAATATTTCTGCATACTGAGGTCCATAAACAGTGTTGGAATTAGATAAACTGGGAACGACTGGAAAGCTGAGACACAAACTTCATAAACAGTATATAATAGGATAGGATGACTGAAGGTTCACACAGGTGAGATCTCACAGGCCTTTAATGTCATAATATTATATGAAGTTACTGTTTGTCAGCTGGTTAGCTTAGCTTAGCTCAAAGACTGGAAACAGGGGGAAACTGCTAGCATGACTCCATCCAACGAGGATGAACACTTAATGCAACCACACGATATATACACTGTATAGTCATGTATGTACTGCATTCAGATTAAGTCTAAAATACTGCTGATAATCAAAAAGTTTGACACCAGAAGAATGTTTTTCACATTCATCTGCTGAAAGTGGAACGTTTCTCTTTGAAAATCTGATTTTAAGAGGCATCACAAATAGTTTGGAAGTCAATCCTGGTCCAGTTTGCAACTTATACAAATGTGATGTAAAATGGTCTTTTTAAGGATTTTAATGTGGACGTATCATTCGCACATTATTGTCCGTAGGGGATCTTTAAAACTGCGATAAGGCAAATTTGTTATCAAACTGTTGCTTATTTACGCATCCAGCAGCAGCTTTCTCATTCATTTGACTTTATTAATCGTATTTCTGTCCAATATTCGCTCTTACTCTCACTTCTCTAACTGCTAAATGCTCCACTATGTTGTCAGTCTGCTGTTTGGTGTTTGTGAACCAGCAGTAAAGTTGCAGCCAGAAGGATAAACAACGAGCTGAGACTCACCACAGAAAGTCCTAACACATTCTTAAAAAATATTGGCTACACTCCTTTAAATTTAAAACTAATAAGACAAAACGTAAGAATAACACACGTGTGGGTGAAAAGCCTCAAACAAAAGAACGGAGGTTCTCTCTCAGTTATAAGGGCTGGACTCGCATACTTTGGCTCAGCACGCTGTTCCTTTTCACGAGTCTGTAAAAATGCCTTCTTGAAGCATGACTCATGTTCTGTCTGTACCACAACCTTAATATGCAAATACTGAAGTTGGTGTACATGAAAGGAGACGCTCCACTGCCAGCGCACAAGTCGAGACAGGACGTGCTGTTCATATCTTTTTAACTTTAAATAAAAGCAGGTATGCCACAGAAATACTAAAGTCCTGCATTTTATTGCATTATCATTAATATATGATTAAAGTACCAGATGCAGCTGGTAAAGGTGGAGCTAATATAACAACTGTATATACTTCCCAACCTTTTCCCTTTTCTAGTATTTATTAAACTGACATATTTTATGGATATTTTCATATTATATTCAAAACTGTACAATGAACCCAAACAGTGAACTTTGAAGTCAAGTTTGTTTAAAGCAGATTTTTTCCTGTTCCTATGTTTTTCAATCATTTAACAATCATACAGACTTAATAGACTTATTTTCTGACAGATTTTGTGTTTTCTTCTCATTGTTCTATCGGCCCTTATCGGTTGTTTTAACTTTTCTAACGCAGGTCGAGGCTGTTTGTCAGAGAGTGAAAGTTCTGTGAATATAGCTTGTGTTCAGATCTTCAAAGTTTATATCTTAAATAACTTTTAAATATTACAATTTAATTCAGTTTTCTTCCACAGAAATGAACAAAATGCAGAGATACAGGCCTACTGTGTATATTGTTTAAGTTTTCTTACACCCGTTAAAATGAAGAAGGCCCCGCGACCCCCCTGTTGAAGCTTTGGCGACCTCTTACCCTAACTCTAGCCCTCAGGTTATCATAATGTATTACCTGGTTTATATTTTGTATTTATAATCTGAATCTGCAAAGTAACTAATCAAGTCTAGTGAAATAAATGTAGTGGAGTTTAGTTTAATTTCTCCGTTCAGTTTAAAACAACAAAATTACAATGACAAGTAGAGTACAGTGTAAGGAGAGACAGAAAGTGGACTTATTCAAAGCTTAAAGGTCAAAATTCAGTTTTTGAAAACATAAAATTAACATACAGAAAAGACTATGACTACACTAAAAGTGGTGACAAACTAATAATAAGAATATATACAAACACAACAACAATAATGTCAATATAAAAGAACAAAATGTATGAAAAAAGTATATAAAGTACAAGTTCCTCAAAATTGTTCTTTTTTATGCATATTTGTATTCAAGAAAATAATATTGTACATAAACCACCTCTATACTGCTCAAAAAATAAATATATAAGACCTTATCTATACTGGGCAAGATAATACCAAACTACATACATAATAAAATAATAGTAAAAAAAAACTGTAAAATAAAATTAAACACACATTGATACAAGAAAACAAGGTTTACACAGGTTGACAGTTAAGTATATATACTTAAATACTTAAGTATATATAATTACCTGCATATAATTGTTCTTAATAACAGTACTTGAGTAAATGTACTTATTTCCATTCCACAACTGGATTTTAGTGAACTGGACATGTTCACATTTTCCGATACACCCCCATTTGAACGTGTTAAAGATAAAGTTCCTCATCATGTTAATTAACTTGGAAAGGAAGCTTAAAAGGGGGTCATGGCAGCGGATCTGACACCCAACCACCTACTTCTCTGCTCCGTATGCCCAGATAAGACATCTCTATCTGCCTCATTTAAATACTCTTCACATGCCACTTCCTTTGTAACTTCACGCAGTCCAGTTCAAAAGAGACTGTTAATTTATTGCAAAGTCTCTGGTTGCTTGTGTGCAACAATACATGGAAATATCAGCCAGAAACAAACTGCTTTGTTAGGTGGATTTGTTACTTTAAAAAAACTATTCCAGGTTCCAGATGTGTGAAAATGCCTCCTCCTGCTGGACTTAATGAATAAATGCAACAGTGCTTTTTTTATGCTTTGTGGATTCAGTAAAAAATTTAATGTTAAAGTAATTTCACTGCAAAACTTATTTATATGTCACAAAATAATTTATATGTATCCCTCTCTTATATGTGCATGTTGTAAATCTTAATACATAAAATGACTTATTAATATGTAATGTAACTATTTAGGCTCTTTCCTTATTAAGATTATTGTAATCTAAAGTATTTTTCATGCATTTGCACCATTTTGAGTGGCTTGAATTTTAAATCACATTATTATGTTACAAGAATACACTTTATATGGGCTTGTAAGTGTTGAATTAGAAACTACAGCTTGCTTCACTGAGTAAATGAGTCGTTTTTAAAAGTTCAAAAGGACCAAAAAGCTACTAGAACAATAAGAGGACATCACTGAATTTGTTAATCAAGGAATCAAGGGAATGTATGTCAATGTATGTATGTATGTAATCATTACACAACAATAGGCTGTATAACAATATGAACATTTGTAGTTCAGTCAGAATATATATGTAAAAAAAAATATATATACATATAATATATAATATTTATATACTGAAAATAGGATAAGAAATACATTGTCAGGAAAGCTCATCTCATAAATCTTCATCAATGATCAATATTCACAGGAAATCATCTGCTCAACATCCAAATCGCTCGTTTTACACAAACTTCCTGCAGTGATTTTATTCCCTGTTTGAGTTTATTGTACAGTTTGTTGTCTGTTGTTCTGTTATTGTTATTATTATGCTTGAATATAACATGAAACATCCATAAAATATGTTGCTTAGTCAGTTTACTATTTCCTTAAGGAAAAAGGTTGGGAACCACTGGCACTGTTTGTTTTTAATAAACTTCATTACCCAGAATTCAAATGGAAATTATAATAATAATAGTTATTATTAAGATATAATTACATATTATATTATATAACATTATTACATTATATCTTAATGGCTCTATTGCGGAGGTGTTTTTTTTTTGTTTTTTTTTAACATAAACTCCATTACCCAGAAGCCAAATGGAAAACTCGCGCAGCCGCAGATCGAGTCGGTTTCATGACGCTGATTTTGTTGTCTTACCGCAGTCACTGTAGCTACTGCTCTGTCTCGTCTGCGGGAAATAAAGCACATGTCGCAGTTATGTAGCGCACAGAAGGAGGCCTCCACCCTCTAGCTGACGTTAGCTCATGCTTCATCGCTTGTGTCGCGAATTAAAAAACAAACTGCGGCTTCCGTCCGTCAACCGAGCTAGCTGACAACCAGCTAGCACAACAAGCTGGTGTGAGTTAGCGATGTGCTGCTGTTTGTTTGTTTCTCTCTCTCGTCTCGGCTAAAAGCTTTCTGCCGGGGCGGCCGACCAAGCTCAGTTTATAGATATATAAATATATATAAATATATCTGTGTGTTGTTGTTGGGGGGCAGAAAAGTGTCCGGATACGATGTGGCAAAGCGTCGGACTCACACTGCTGGTCATTGTGGCCACACTCGTCTGTGCGCTGCTCTTCATGCTGTTTGGTGAGTTAACTTTCATACTTACACACATTATTATTATTATTATTATTATTATTATTCACTGTTAAAGTCTAAAAGCTGACAGCAGCTGGTTGCAGCCTCCCTTAAATAAACACACTGGTTGAATGTTCGCGTTTGGGTTTGTACGGCAGGTCGGAGTGTGTTGGGTGTCTCTGACCTGCAGGTTTGGATTTCAGAGAGAGTTTCTATATTTATCAGAGGAGTGTGGCAGATGTCATAACACAAACATGGCTGCTCCTCTCCTCAAGACTGCAGGTGTTTGTTTACTCTGTGCATCCCCTCCTTCTGCCTGCACCTGGGCGGCTTTCACCTGCACAACACTGGCTTAACACACCTGTTGTTGTTGTTGTTGTTGTTGTTGTTGTTGTTGTTGTTTTGCAGGGAAACTAATCTGCAAACAAATAAGCATCTGTGCCTGTTACAGCTCAGTCTCTTCTCATCCTGGATGTGAGGCGTTCACTGCAGCAGGGGATGATAATTTCTCCAATATAGGAGTTGGAAATGTGCGTCCCTAGAAAATATGAACTGTTGTGTGTCCAGTTTGTGGCTCTGATGTAAAACCATTACTGGTACATTCAAGGTCCGGAGTTAAACAGCTGAAAGACATGAAAAGATGTATACTGCTGCACACAAAAAAAGAAGATTTTTAACTCATTTAATCACCAGAAATTACTTAACTTCTTGCTTGTGTTTCGTGTAATGGAAGAAAAATGTGAAATAATAAGAAGTAATGATTAATATAGAGAAATACTGTGAATAATAATGATTTTTAATTTTGCTACGTGTTGAAATTGAGTGAGAATGTGTCATTTCTGTCTGCTGTGTTTGGATTTGTAAATAGGGATGGGAATTGATAAGATTTTATTGATTCCAGTGCCATTATCTGCCTGTTTCTTTGATTCTTTATCAGTTCCTTTTATTGGTTTTAGGTCTTCAGCATCAGTGTAGAAATACCAAAAAGGGATTACAGAATTGATTTTCAGGATATTTACCCTCAGTAACGGACCCGCTGCTCGGTTGGGAAGCACTCGAGTGCGTAGAGTGTCCGATAAATGGTGTTTTAATCCATTTTGTGTGGACAGATATTTCAGCACATTACTGGTGTCTCCACTCTTACATGAAATCATCATTTAACGAACATTACAAGGAGTTTTGAGATGGAGCCACACTTTGGACTGTTTCTTCCTCCGTGCTGAGTTTGTCTTTGACGTCTGGCCATCGATAGGAGGAATTGATGAGCTCTGAGTCATATGATTTTGATGGATTGGACAGTTGGGAACTGATTTGTTGGCGTAAAACTCTCCTTTATCGTGCAGAATAAGTAGTCAGAGAATTTGAGGATGGCATTAAGTGGTGTTAAATGACCTTGATGAGCATTTATTTGTCAGAAAAACAAATGCTTATCTCTGTGTAGTGTATTGAGCACCTCTGGTTTAATAGATATCATTTTATCAGGCCTGTAAATGTCTGTTTTTTCCCTCTTCACCCCTCAGGTTGGTATGTAGTGTGGCAGCTCTTCCTGTCCAAGTTCAAGTTCCTGCGTGAACTTGTCGGGGACGCTAGCACGCCGCAGGCCGAGACGCAGCCGTCCGAAGCCAAGAGCGAACGCACGGCCAGCGCCCCGACACGAAATCGGCCCAGGACCGCACGCCAAAGAGTCGCCTCTTCAGAAAGCGCTTCATAGATCATCCAGACAGCCACTGTGTATCCTTCACATCCACTCACGAAAACGGCTCATCACCACGGCGTCTGCAAACGTCATGTGCGACCATCAGAGACCCCCCCCAACTGACCTTGCGCTCTACACTACACTTGTGGACACTCGGTAGTCAGCCCTCCTCTTCACCAGGACACTTTAAACTGGCCAGGCAGATCTCCTGGTTTCAAAGGGAAAAGCCATTACTGTCCATTTTTCTTTTATGTCATCTGTTCATAAGTTTAATTATGTGCAGCCGTGTAATGTACCGAGCACCGAGGCTGGGGCTCCGCTCGTGCTGCTCCTGTTATCCTGCAATAGTGACGGCCGGCTTTCGTGAGCTGGCCACGCTGCTTCCTGCCACCTAATGTGGAGCGTGACGATGCTCCGGTGCAAAAAGATGTATTAATCCTCTCGTGTACTTGTTTTAATCTTGTATTTTCACCAGAAGACTACTTTGAACAAAAGTAGGCAAATAATGTTCTACATCATTTCAACAACTGAAACAGTCATTTATACAACTGACAATTGTATTTTCTTTTTTAAAAAAAAACCTAACAAAGTGCAATGAAAGGAATGTTTATGCTGTCATTTTGTTGTTTCTTGCACAGTACACTCTGCGTATTATGGACTACCATCCAGTAGATAACGACCCAAAAGTCTCCACGGAAGATGACGAATGACACGGCTTCATTCCAGTTGTGTAAAATGTGACCTGCAACTTCTCCTTTGCCCCCCCTTTTTTTGTTTTGTCCTTTAAATAGATTTATACTTGAAGAGTCAGGAGAAAGTTTCAGGGACTGTTTGTGTTCAGAAGCAGCTCCACGCGTTATTAGCTGATCTCTAGGAGTGATGAAACGAGGCTCCCTGCTGCCCGAGTGGAGTCTGAACCCTCTCCCGTTCCCTGTGCCTCTGTCTGTACCTGTGCCTGTCTAAAAGGCATCCACTGTTTGTTACATGGCCTCCTTTTTTGTAATAGCTGACAGGAGCTTGGTTTCCATTACAGGTGCAAAGCAAAGCTGACCAGGGCCCTAGTTGATATTTATGTAATATTCTCCCTCCAGGTAAAACTCATGTAAACTCTTGCACCTTTTTGGTTTTGTTTTCTTCTCCAGTGGAGCAGGAGCTTCAAATAAATAATGCCATAAACATGTTGACCTGCTTGTTTATGAGGAAAAATAAACACACAGTGTGATTGATCCTAGGGTAATGAACATACGAAATACTTTATAAACTGCCTCAAACTGTATAAACAGGTGAAAATAACCACATATTATATATATATATATAACCTTTTGGAAATATATTGAATATCTTTCTTTTAACTACTTACAAGATATTTGATAGGATGAAGTTGTTATCTGCATTTTAAACTGTTCTCTGATGTTATATAGATCAAACCAACAATCCAGAAAAATGAAGAAAACAATCTTTAATGTTCGTTCAAACAGAAACTGTTTAACCTCAGTGGTGGGAAGTAACTGAGTACTTAAGTACAGTTCTTAAGTACTTGTACTTTACTTGAGTATTTTCATTTTCTGCTATAAAGTAATCAAAATAAGTTCCACTTTTACCAGTTCAAACATTAAAGTATTACATATTAAAGCTTCAGTACTTATAACGCAGTAATATAATATATATAATGCTTATATAGTGCTTTAACTTTTGGTTTTATTTTTAAGCTTGTGTACTTTTACTGACATCACATTTTAAATGCATTTGCTTTTACTTGTAAGACTATTTTTAAACTGTGGTATCAGGTAAAAGATCTGAATACTTCTTCCACATTGGACGATGATTATTGATGCATTAATATGTACTTCAGTTTATTATTGCAGCTGGTAAATGTGGAGCTAATTTTGATTTATTTTATGTGTATTACATTATATACTGCTGGGTAGTTTGGGGAATTTGAATAAAGTCATATTGATGTAATAATCTCATACTTTATTTTATTTGTTGCTTATATTTTGTATTAATCAAAATTAAAAATCAAATAAATGTAGAGTAAAAAGAGAATATTTGCCTCTGAATTGAAGTATAAAGAGTAAAAGTACAAATACAAGAAAGTTGTACTTTATTAAGCTTCTTTAAATAAGACATCAGTGGTCAATTAATCCAAACAGTATACTTTATTTTATTGTCATTTATAACGCAAGATTGTAGAATGAAATTCAGATGTTTCCCTTTATGCTACTTTAAAAAGTATAATTGTATTAATAATAGTAACTTATTGATTCATATGATGAATTGTTGAGGAAGAATTTGTCTCACAGCCTAAAAGAAGAAGCTGTCTTTAACAGAAAACAGAAACAAACAAGCAAACAAAAATTTAATGAATTATTATAATAATAAGGGGGTTTGATCAATGTATATAACGCAAGTAATTCACAAAGTCTTTTTAACATTTAAAGAAGATTTTTGAGTCATTCATAAATATAAAAAAGCTTAAAGCAACTTAAAATAACACACTTGTGAACTTCTCAAAACTACTTTAAGTACTTAAACTTTTCAATTTTGCCGACATGCTGCAGTTTGAACACAAGGTGGCAGTGTGGCACCGATATCAAACAGCACACTAACAAACTCACAGCTTAAAGACGAACAGTTGAGCAGCAGGAGAGCTCATGTTTTACCTCTGAGGCTCAGAGTCTGTTCAGGGTCTGTGAGGATGAAACCGTGCAGATAAAGAATAAAATCCTTTCATCTGGATCTTTTTTATAAAACTGTATTTTGGACCAGACGGAGCGGTCGGCACGCTGATGATAGATAGATAGATAGATAGATAGATAGATAGATAGACTTTATTAATCCCCTAAAGGGAAATTGGGTCTTCATAGCAGCCAGGTACATTACTACACATTACATACATGTGTACATTATTACTACTAAACAAAAATAAAACACAGAAACCAAATGTTCTCCTGACTGCAGTGTGTCTCTCTGTGCCCTTTAAGCTCCGCTGGCCGCCATGAATTAATGTCCCCGAACTCGTTGCAGTGAATTAATCTACTATAATCTAATTGGAGTCTGTCTCGCTTTAAAAGACCATTTCAGTCTTTAGTGAAGCTTATTTCAGCCTCAAGGGTCATTAGCTTATTCCTAAAGTGCTCGTTCTTAATGCAAAGCAAGGATACGATGATTGTGACTGCCGGAGACCCTGACCACCCCAGTTCAGTGTCTAGTTATATATATATATATATATATATATATATATATATATATAAAATAACACATTAATTTAGATTAACTGTATAAATAACGTGTTAAAAAAACAAACATTCATTTAATGATCTGTTATGGACACATTTTAGACTGATGGTCAGGCTTAAGGTTAATGAAACAGTGTGTTATATTTGGAAAAATGTCAGAAGATTTAGAAATAAAACAATTGGTTTCTTATATCACCTTTAGATATTTAAGGGCTTTACAGGGTTGGGCCATTAAAAAAGATGCCGAAATATCCCAGGTACGGTCGCTGCCATCTTACGCTGGTGACGTTATTTGGAACCAGAGTCTGGGTTGGTGCCTCAGTGTCGAAGTCCTGCCCATACGCCCGGCCGACCCAATCCTGAGCAGACCTCAGCTGTCAATCGTGACGTGAAACCCCCTTTTTATAGCTTCAAATAACAAATTAAAACCAAACCTATCCGAAAAATACTTGAACATACATCAGCGTGATTAAAAACGACATAAAATGGGAAACATTTATTTGACATTTTTAGTTTGTCCCATCTGCTAACATGGAGGCTTTAAGACCTGTACTGCAGTCAGCAGTCAGTCAGTACAAATTTGTACATTTTGAGGCTTTTCCAAACAAATACTTATATATGTGGTTGTTTTTCTTATTAAATCAGCTTAAAGTCTCCATGCCACCCTCTGCCCCCCCCCCATTAATATTTCTCTGGATCCGCCCCTGGTGACTGGAGAGATTGAAAACGATGAATCCAGATTTATCGTTGGAAAGTTTGAGAAACATAAGTGTAAAGCGGTAAGTTAAACATCCTACTGAAACATTAAAAGTTCAAATGTATTGAATTTCCCCCTCAGCTCGTGTTTTTTCCGTGTCAGTCAGCTCTTTTTCAAATGTTTCACTCAGAGCTGCCACACAGACTCAGTTCAGCATTTAAAGGTATAACCAAATTAAATAAAAACCAAACACGTTACTTACCTGAATGTGTCCCTTTTCTGCTACTTTACACATCTACTGCACTTTTTAGAATTTGTCTTACAACTGCGGTTACTATGCAGATTATTAAAGCAAAATATAATGAAGCAACAGTGTATAAATTAGCTTAAAATGACATATTATTGTGTAACAGAGCGTTCTGCAGTACTTTAAGTATCTTTTGACGTTGACTCTTTTACTTAAAACTTGAATTGCAGGACTTTTTACTTATTTTCTGTTTCTTATTGGCTGCTTTTACTTCAGTGAAAGATCTTCTCCCTCCAGGGCAAAGAACATAAATCTAATTAAATCCAAAGAAGAAAATATTTAAAGTGCAGTAATTGATACATTTCACTGCGGTATGACTCAAATGTTGAGAATCCTGCTCGTCCAGAATAAACTGCATCCATCATCCGCTGGAAACAGATGCAGAAAATTAAGCACCCACCCTTACAGTAAATTGACTTTGAGGCAAACCTTCACTCGTAGTTTTATTCATACTAATGATGCCACCTCTCCCTCAGATCTGGCTCGGTGTGCTTCTTGCCTCTGCAGCTGGGGCCTTTTTCAGCCCCGCTGAGCTATGAGGCTGTAATTTCAGAGCCTGCAAATACTTTACAGGAAATGATTGTGGTAAGCCAAGGAAATGACATAGACTCTCCAGCACTCTCTCTCTCTCTCTCTCTCTCTCTCTCTATATATATATATATATATATATATATATATACATAAATACAGCGAGGGCCACACTCCTGCTCCTGTTGCTGGCTGCAGGTACTGCACTGTTACCTCTCTGGTGACCTTTTCGCTGTTTTGTTTCCACTCTCAACAGACAGGTGAGCAGCTGACTTTCTACACTGCTGCTCTTGTAGGTCACTGCAAGAAATTTCCACCTCAGCAGTCCGAACACCTGTTTGCTGTTTCTCGGCTCGACCAGACAGTATCTCATCGGGGAGTGTGGAGACAACTGCTCCAGGGGATTTGAATGAAAATGCAGCTTCAGCTCTCTCTCTCTCTCTCTCTCTCTCTCTCTCTCTCTTTCTCTCTGCAGCACCTTTTTTTTTTTGCGTAGTTTTGTGCAATTGTGGTAAACCAAAGACAGACATTTATGAGATGTTTGGCATGCTGCCCCTGGTGACAGACACACACACACACACACACACACAGAAGCTCCTGCTGCTGTTGAGTGCAGGACTCTGTGTTCTGGCCCCAGTGGATGTATTAGAGCTGCCAGGACTAAAATAACTCATTGATTCACCAATCTCACCCCAGGTCTCGACCATTTATCAGCCAAAAGCTATTTTTCTCACTTGTTTGGAGCCACAAGATGTCCTGAGATGCATTTTTTTTCTTTTTTACTGCCCTGCAAAGGCAAAACAACAGACCTGAGCTAAATCATGTAGCTGTTAACTTAAATAAAAGATTATCAACATAACTTAATGAGGAAGCAGCTTTTGAAACTAGTGCATGTATTAGTAGTAATGAGTGGATTTATTACAGTTTCCAAGACTAAAATAACCAATTACCAATCTCTCCTTAGGCATTAATCAGCAAAAAGATATTTTTATGACTTGTTAAGAGCCACAAGATGTCCTGAAATGTTATTACTGCGCTACAAAGGCAAAACAAGAGCTAAACTAAAGGTTATAATGAATATAACCTTTAATATATCAATATGGTATGATAGCTGTGGCTAGCCTCAGCTAAAGCTTAAACTACACTGACCAAGCTCTTAACTGTAATTAAAATATATTATTGATGAACTAACATCTTTATTTAACATAACAAAATGAATAAGTAGGAAAAACATGATGGAGAAACCCAGCTAATCTGCTAAACACATTTTTTGTGTATCTAGCCCAACACTGCCCGGTTGTATTAAATCATTTCTAGGATTAAATAATCTAAAACAACATTACACCTTTACAGGAGCCTGAAAAACCTTCAATCCTTTCTTCTCAGCTCCACTGCTGTTCTGTAGTTTCTGCTCTCTGACTTTTTCAGGGCAGATTAGCAAAGAATGTCTCCGACAGACATGTAAGACGGACCTGACATCTCCTGAGTTATCGCATCTGTCTGCAGTTTCCGTTAAATGGGAACCCGTATTTTTTAAAGTCATTTGAAAAAAAAAAAATTCCTCTCTTTCCCCATCTCCCCGGAGAGCGCAGAGAGGAATGCTGTGAATAATAAAAACGGTTAGATTGCTTGTAAGTGGCAGCCTGTGTGAGCTCTTGTTCTCTGCACAGCCCCATCAGTCTGATCTCTGAAGGGAGAAGCTATATTTCACTCAGGCTATAATGAAAGAGGAGCAGGTGAAGAAGGTTGTTTTTGGTCATTCTATACATTTTTATCAATTCACTGCACTGAGAACCAGAGAAAATGTGTTGCAGCTGATCAGGTCGCTCTGCAAAAAAACGTGTTTCTCATGGTCTGGAGAACATATGCAACGTCTTCTCGTCCTTTTCTAGCCCCCTTCATTATTCTCTCTGTGTGTCGTATCTAATGTCCTACAAGGAAGGAGGATAAATGTCATCCAGCAGCTCTGCTTTAAGAGTGAAAAACTCCATCTTTAAATTACCCCTTTTAAAGCTTAACAGGGTACAAATGACTCAAAAATATCCCTCAGGGGTCCACAAGGATTACCATGGTTACACTTTAAAACACCATAAAACCCGCAATTATATTTTACCCACAAATGTGGCTGTTAGTTAACCATTAATTCAGTTTTTTATCACTGAAATGGGGCCATCACTCAAACGTAAAGAGCTATTAAACGTACAGGATTTATATTTCAGTGTGAACGTTGAAGACCATGAGCTGCGGTTAAAAGCTCTAGAAAAACCCATTACATATTAGATTATTATTGGAGAGTTGACGTTCATTGTTGAGCTTGTCGACAACTGAATGAACCACATAAGCCGATGAAGACCATGAGATGCGGGTGAAAGCTAAGGAAAAATGAAATATATTAGATTTATATTTGAGCGTTGACCTTGAAAAATGGTAGTTGTACAAAAAGTGTCTAACTCAAGGTCCACTTGTCATTACAACTCCATCCACTGATGAAGACCATGAACTGTGGTTGAAAGTCCTGGAAAATAAATAAAACCCCAGGATGTTGATGTTGCTGCTCAAGACTTACTGGATATTTGTTACTCATGAGTGTGAAAGTGCATTCTTGACCTGGTAAATAGTAAGAAATATCAGAGGTCCACTCTCCACGAAGACCATGACATGTGGTTGAAAGCTCCGGAAAAACGACATACAAAGATCTGTATTTCAGCGTTTAAGTTCATATTGAAAAGTAGTAACCAAGCTCCTTTTTTTCTTTCGCTGTAGCAGATGAAGACCATGAGCTATGGTTGAAAGCCCCAGAAAAAAAGCCAGTAAGTTGACCTTGAGTGAACTTTTTGTTGTTGTTGTTGTTGTTGTTGTTGTTGTTGTTGTCAAACTACTAGTTCCATTTTCAAATGTAAATCTTGTATGATTTGTTTTTCCAGAGCTTTCAAATGCATCTTATGGGCTTCATCGGGCTCAGGCAAAAACAGCTAGTAAGCTTCATATTGTTTTGTTACTGTTATTATATTTTATAATTATCACATTATTATTGGTTTATTTAATTTATTTTCTGTTATTTAACTTTCTCTTTGTGTGTTTAGCATGAAGGAGCTTTCATTTTGTTACACAACCTTGTGTTTGTTGTATAATCATAGATCAAGTTTCTTGATTTTGTGTCCCATAATTGACTATGTGGTGTATTTTTTAAGCGTTCACCTTGGTGTAAACACATTCCTGAGAGGAAATATAACATTTCAGCATGAAAATTATCAATATTTATAGAAAATGAATTGCCACTGCCTTGTGGCTTTAGTCCAAAAATATCAAGTGTTGGCCCTCAAAACCCCTTTCTGTCCTACTGACTCAACATCCATCCAAATTTAGTGCATTTAAAGGTCCAGTGTGGAGGATTTAGTGGCATCTAACGGTGCAGTTGTAGATCTATCGGAGGAAGGAGAAGCTGTGGTGGTTGTGAAATGAAGGAAAAAGGCCTCTTATTTTCAGGTGATTATACAGTAAAGAACACATACTCATAAATATAATATTCCATTTCCTCCTAAATGTTACACACTGGACCTTTAAGTAAATGCTCCTCTGTTTAACTATAACAAATCTGATACCTGAGAGAAATTAAACGACACAGTCACACGGTTAAGAACAGTCTTTACTCTGTGGAGAGGTCCACGCACATATGGACAACATGATTTACAAGGAGATTTACCGTCACACCCAGCAGTAAGACACATCAACGACATTCTACAGGTAAAAATGACAAAACAAAAAAACAAAAAAAACGGGACTCATCTCATAAGGTGCTTCATAATATGCGACAGGAATGTTATGAAAAACGTCTACATAATCCTACAGAGACACCAATACTGCATCTACATATATATATATATATATATATATTCATACCATAATATAAAACAATCTACACAAAAATAGAGCAAATATTTACAGAACAGACTATTTACAACAAAAACAGGCTTAAAGATGAAGAGCAATATATATATATATATATATATAAAGTAAATATATATATTTATGCTGGATTAATGTACATGTGGAGTCTGTGTTGAGATGTACTGGAGCAACATGGTTGAAAATCACAAATTGGCCAACTGCAGCAACTGTTCTTTGAACTGCTGCGCGTGGTGAGAGAGGTCAGTGACTCTATCTACCATCTCCTGGATGGCGGCCGTGTTCGGGTAGTTCAGGGCGGCCGTTTTGGTCGCAGCCACCACCGTCTTTAACAAGTCACACAGCACGTTACTGGAGTTCATCACCCTGTTGGCCACCTCGGGAGCCGAGGCCTGCCTGGACAGAGTGTCTCCGATGAAGACCAGTTTGTGGGCGCTGAGGATGACGAACTTGCTGTGTGCCACGAAGATGCGAGGGGGCTGCCCGGCGCTCACGCAGCCGAAGAAGGCATCCACGGCGCTGAGGAGCGTGACGAAGTGCTGCTCGCACTGCTCCGAGTAGAAGCCGAGGAGCTGGCGGTCACGGGCGCACACGTGCGTGGATGGGGACAGGGAGGAGGAGGAGGAGTCCGAGGGGGAGGCCGAGGTTATGCCCGAGTGTTGGTGTGAGATCCACTGCGTGATGTCGTTCTCCACAGGTTTGATCACTTCCTGCTCCAGCTTCTTGAACTGATTGATCTGTGGAGGGTGAGAGGATTTAGATTATTTTCTTGTCAACATGTAACGAGATCCTGATGTCACGGTGACGTTCCTAGGATTAAAATTCTTGCAATTGAAATACGCATCTATAAGTTGATTAATCGATTAGTGGATCGGGAGAAAATTGATTTCCAGACATTTATCAAGTAAAAATGCCAAATATTTGCTGGTTCCAGCTTCTCATTCATGAGGATTTGCAACTTGTTTTTTTTTATCATAAATGATAAAATGAATGAAAAATATAGTTATAAATTATAGTATAGTAATCTGGTTTTTCACCACATTTTGACATTTCATGTAATTGAGAACATATTGGGCAGATTAAACAGAAATGAAAATCTCAAGATTGAAGCCCCTGACAGCTAGGTTTCAAATCTTAAAGCAGCAACAAGGAACTTTCATTTTGTGTTGATTCTGGCACCCCCCGTGGACACAAGTGTTAGTGTCTCACTGCCTCATGTCATTGATTTCAAGGGGAATCCGGCTGAATTAGGCATCAGGCATTAAGAATAACTATATAGAAACAGACGGTCTTCTTGCTTATAGTGTTGTTAGTTTATGTGGATCATATAGAAGCATCAGTATTAAACTGAGATTGTTTCACAACCAGGTAAAAACTCCATGTGACAGGTTTCAAGTAACAACATCCTTTGTATTATTATTTATAGAGTTTAACCCTCAAAACTATAAAAAATGTTTTTTGTGATGTCTATTCTGTCTCACTTTCTATGTGTCAATCGCTTTATCCATTATTGATAACAGAGAATCACGTAGAGGCACTAATTCTAGCAACGTCTTCAATGTCGGTGTCATGTGAAAAAAGAGAGAGAAAGTCTCACCTGTTCTTGGCCCAGTTGAACTTGACTCTGCTTGATAATGTTCTCTTTGTCCAACAGCTCCTTCTGCTGACGCTCAAAGTCGTCTTTGCCCTGCGGAGGAAGACAAGTAGGTGAGAAAAGGCATTCAAACGTACTCAGGTTACGTCCTACACGAAGTACACATAATCTCTGTAGTATGAAAGTGGAAATATGAGAGATGGTTATGTAATTTTAACCCCAAAAAACCCCAGAAGGTTGAAGATTGAAGGACATTTGCTACATTAAATCTTCACTTTGGTGACTAATTATGTGAAATTGACTTTTCTCATTCAGGGTAATGAAGCCACTATGTGTAGGATTTAAAAAATGTCTGACTTTGATGAAGTTATATGAGTTATATAACGTTCTCACTGAGGATTTACCTGCAGATGAACATAATCGTAGTCCTCCATCCAGCTCTTGACACACTTCTCGCTGTTGTTCATGTTGTCTTTGTCCTTGCTGGAGGGCACGGGGAAGGGCTTGGTCTTGCCTCCGTAGTTGTCGTTGTCAGAGGAGGGGGAGGTGAGCGGGTGGATCGTGTTCTCATCAGGCGTGCTCCCGATAGAGAAAGACCCGTCCATGTGCGTCCGCCTAAACAGCAGCTCAGCATTGCTGCCTATTGAGGAGGCCAGCTGCTTGGCATCGTCGGGAACAGTCCTGGAGACCATGACAAAGCGATCCAGGTCGTCGCTCTTGTTGTGGAGCTTGCCGGAGGACGCCAGGGCGTTCAGAGCCCAGCTGCAGTTCTCCAGGACTTGGTAGATCTGCAGGAGGATCTGCTGCGAGTCCTCCAGGCGTCCCAGCTGCCTCCTCAGCTTACTGTGCAGGCTGGAGTCTGATAGAGCTGTGGCGTTTGCCGCAGCCCCTCTACCAAACACAACAAAGTCCCCCAGAGCAGCCCGGACCCTGTCCAGCACAGTGCGGACGTCGTTAGCATGCCGCTCCATGAAGGGAAAAGTCCTCCAGTGAGGGGAAGCTGCCATTGAATGTAACGCCCCAACTGAGGCCTCCACGCCCTGCTGCAGGCGGTACAACCTCTGGATGGCAGCGTCCACATCCAGAATGAGGCGGGCCTCGGAGCTGGAGCCCGTGGAGGATGAGGAGGTGGACATGCTGCTGCGCGTGCTGCCGGTGCTGGAGAACGACAGACGGTTCACGCCGTCCGTCACGTCTGCTACTGCACGAGCATCCTGAGCGGGGATGTCGTAGATGCCTTTGCTGCCGTCTCTGTCAGCAGGCGAGGTTCTGTGCTGGGGGGGCTGCATGCCCCGGGGGATGTCGTATACGTCCCTCTGAGATGCCCCCGAGTGAAGGGTGGGGGGAGGCACATCGTAAATGCCTTCGTTGCCGTTGGTGTTGGGGTGTTGGTGATGGTTGGGAGGCTCCGCACTCGGGGGGAAATCGTAATGCGACTGTGCGGGCTTGGTGAGGACAGGTGGCGGTACGTCGTAGATGCCTTCCTGTTTGTGTTTGAGAGGCTGCGGGAAGTCGTAGTTTCCCTCCTGGAGAGCGGGGTTGGTCCTGCAGGGAGGCACCGAGTAGACCTGCAAGTGAAGGCAATTCAACAGGAATCCATTAGTCACAATGCAAACAAGGAACTTCGTCTTCTGTTGTCGGCATCAGCCAGAGAAATGGTTCCATTTCTAAAACCCAACTCAAGTTTCTTACAATCAGTAGGCGATTTCAGGGGGGAAGACTTTCCCCTTGTTAGCAAAATGAGTCAAATAAATGCCCCTTGTTAACCTGCCATCCCCCCTCTCCATCCCCCAGTAGAGGGGAATGCAACCTGCGGCTCTGGAGCCCCTTTTCAGTGGCTCCCTGTGGTTTGGACTAAAAATTCTATGGAAATGAAAAACATTTTCATTTATTATTGCTGTAGGCCTATAAAGAGTCTCCAATGGTAAAAAATATGTAGCCATTACTAACAAATATTAACATTTTGTCAACTAAAATGTGCTTCATAGGTTAGGTCCTGACTTGGCACCTCTTCCTCTATATTTTGCCTTAGGTGGCTATCAGTCTTGAGTTCCCTCGCAAGACAAACTGTGGACTCCAAATCCAAAAAAGAAAAGTCTTGGAGGAAAACTGGCTTATGGTTGATCTGTGGCGAGAAATCAATTCACTCAATCAGCATTATATGGATCAAATATGTTTTGTGGCTCCAGGCAAAATGGCTCCTTTGATAGTAAATGTTGCCGACCCCTGCCTTAGTACCAAACTCACTAACAGGCAGACTGCGGTGCAGATCTAGACCCAGACGCCATCTTATCCCGACCCAGACCTATAACCAATAAATTATTGAGCATTATCCCATTCTGACAGAGCGTTTCTACGTTAACCAGGGCAGCTATTCTAACCTTTACGGCGCTGGTTTAACGGCCCAGGAAACTCCCAGACCGTGCATGTGTTATAAATCATCTCCGGTGATGCTACTCAGCCAGCGCGCATTACGACTCGAGTCAGCGAGTGAGATACACACAGGGGAGAGACAACAGCCGGGGAAATGAGTGAGTCAGAGAAAAGTAATTTCAAATGGCGTGCTCTGAAGAGGGAAGAGTTAGAGAACATTACTTCGAGCAAAGGTCAGGAATATCATAATGTTTAACATGTTATGAACTCATTGTCCCGACCGTGGCTCTGAAATATCAGGAGCTTAACTGTGTATTTGATAATCACGGGTGCTGTCCGTTAGTGTTGATGGATTTGTAATTACGCCTTTCTCTCTCAGTCCGGCCCTCCTGTCAGTTTCATCTTAGCTCCCTAATATTCTCTAAACATTGCTTATATAGCAGGTTACTTAAAAGAACCAGTCTTCTCATCACTAAAATAAAATATGAATCTTCAATCACGCCTAAATCAAATAAAGTCTTTCCTCTTAATGGCCTGTTTGTCATGTTTAATGTCATGTTTCTACAGCTAATGACGCCTGAATGTGGTTTGGTTCTGCTCTCATCAGTATGTTGGTGGTTTAGGTTTGTACCAAACATCAAAAGAAATCGGGAACACGATGTACTTCAGTAAGCAGGTTACTCAGAGAATTCAGGTTACGCAGGTAATCAGTTGACACGTTTAGGTACACTGCGGCAACCTGGTTGCCGACAGCGGCTAGCCACGTAAAGTCGAAAGAAACGTTGCATTCAGAGCAGTCTGAAGATTACTTTTACGTACGTTTACCTCATTATTTCACAAATTGTTTAAAATCAACACCCGGCACTGTAACATTATACACTGCTGGACCCATGGAGCTAAATGGATTAATTGTGCAGCATTATTGAACTGTATGGGTTCACTTTGGTACGGCTGACCTAGTTTGAACTGTTTTAATCAGAGATGCTCAATAAAACTCTCATTTCACTGGTTAATTTAGCCCCCGATTGTATTCACCTGCTCGTTTTTTAGAAATGCAGCTCAGGGTTCACTAACTTTTGCCTGTACCAAAGTTTCTAAAACATTATTATTAAATAATTGATTTCCTCTATAAACACAAACCTGTTATTTCATATAAAAAAATACTGGTTCTGATTAAATAAAGAAATAATCATAAAACTATGACAGAAACTTAGGAAAAACATTAAAGGTCCCCTTTTACCTACACTAGGAATCCCCAGGAGCAACATCTCACTATATTTCTGTAATTACCCGGATTAGTAAAACCATTTCTCTCACTTGTATGACAATTGAGAAATCCCCTTACAGGATAAAGTCACTGTAAACGCACTGAATGTCAGCACCGGACACAGTTCTTAGAGTCGCACTACAGTTACAGATTGAGGAAGTGAAAGACCTTCTGGCTTGTGCAGATACTATATTTGAAAACCTCACATGTTTCTTCCTCTGCTGCAAGAGACACACCAAAACTTAAACCTCCAACTAACTCGACAAGGGCAGAGTATGCGTCCTGACCTACACGGGGCACGGAGCATGATGGGAGCGCAGTGGGGTGAATAAAAAACAGTGGCCTGTGAGTGATTTCCATCAGCCTTGAAATGCACTCTTTTACAGCTAGACAGGCCTGCCCAAACTGTAATTAGGAACGACGCAAATAACAGGTCCCAGCATATTTCAGGTTATTACAAACAAACTGATGGCGTTCTGCCTGGTCGGGTCTGGAAGTCTGGTGAAATCTTAGAGGGGCTGGAAAGAGAAGAGTTATGTCCTTGACTGTTTTTTCCCTGCTGGAGAGTTCAGACACAGAACCATACTCGGGGAGTTTCGGTTAAACTCTTCTGGCAGGCAAAGGTTTCATTTAGCGCAGCCGCAAGAATGTCATAAATATGACATTTGACGTATTATTCATTTATTACAGACAATTAAGAGAAATACTAGGAACTGAATCAATAAACATGAAATAACATTTTCTGGTCATAAGCGGCTGCCACTTCCTTAATTTTCTTTATTTGCCTAAAAGGAACAGAGCGTCTGACTGATGTGCCTTTTCATTGCGGTGGAAGATCGACTAGTTGTTTAAATTTTCTCTTACCCCTTGTGAGGAGGGAGGTATGTCATAAACGCCCTGCGTCCTGGCGTCCATTTGGGACGGAGGGACGTCGTACACGCCTTGGTTTCTGGCACCGGGGAACATCTGACCAGGTGGAATATCGTACACCTGAAACACAAAACGAACACAATATATCAGAGGTGTAAGTACACTCATTCTTCACTCGAGCAGAAAGTATAAAAATAACTCTGGTAAAAGTAGAAGGACTGATTTAACTTCTTTATGCAAGTAAAACTGAAAAGTACTCAAAGTACTCACTCGTATAAAAGTATAAAAGTATGAAAGTAAATGGTAAATGTTAAATGGACCTGTACTTGTATAGCGCCTTTCTAGTCTTCCGACCACTCAAAGTGTTTTTACACTACATGTGACATTCACCCTTTCACACACATTCACAGTGATGGCAAAGCCCATCAAACATAAACTAACACATTCATACACATTCAGAAAGTAGTTTCTCTGAAGGACATTTCTACCGGCTGTTTCTTTTTCTTCTTCTCTTTTCTTCGTCATGTTGGGAAGGTGTGCAATGGTGCAAAAAATAATCGATAACTGCTCGAATGCATTAAAACAAAGGTAACACGCCTGTTTTTGAAACTTTAATGAGTAGAAAGTACAGATATTAGTGTAAAATATAGCAACATAGTTTACCCAGTTATCTTTCAGTGAGCATTGGGTGTACCTACTTTTATACCACTGTATACTTGATTCTGATTGGCTGCTGGCTGTCCATTAACTTACTTAGTAGTCATTTTTCTCTTTTAAATTAATTAAATTGAATAAAAACAAAATCTAGCTAAATATCTCATGAATATATGACTGTTCTGGCCTCCACGTCGTCCATTAACGCCTAATAATCGACACCTCGTCGGGTATTATCTCTCACTTAAATGCCCTCTGATGCCCCTCATTCAGTAGTGTCCTACGAGATGAATGTTTTTCCTAGGATGGGGAAGGCATCAGATTGTTGCCCAGTTTTTATGAGTGGATTGAGTAAGAAACACTTCATTCAAAATGCATAATTATGTGGTTGTCTCACCAGTAACAACTGCCAAATCTGCACCTCGTCTGTGGCTAATGTCATAATGACCCCTGACGTCCAGCAGCAGCGACAATGTGCAAATACTGCTGGCTGAATATGGAAGAGTAGCCTCACACGTCACTGTTTATAACACAGGGTGTTTATACTTTGCTGGACTGGCCGCTTTAAATAAATTTGGGTCATAAATTAAAGAGTACACCTACTTTCTCCAGGCACCACTACACCACTGTGTAGTGCTAAAAGTACAAAGTTGTCAGAACTATTATAATCTAAAGTATATATACCTGAAAAACTCCTTTTTCATTCTATTTTACTTCACATCTCTGCAGTTTATAGACGAATATGTGTAAAACGTCACATAAAACTTACAGCACGAGTTGTGATCACAAAGAGGTGGTTTGAATTGATTTTATGTGGTAGAAACTTGTTGTTTTGCTTTAAATAACGCAATAAAAAAATCAGCTTTTATTCAGTGTGTGAAACCAACGTTGCTCCAGCACTTGCAGAGTTTCAGTTTTTAAGACGAGATTGACAGGACAGAAATGTAACTGTCAGGGATCCTTTCTGAGAAAACAAGGTCAGCTGCAGAGAACAGGATATGGGGTGCATTCAAAGACAGAACAAACTGAAGATCAAAGAAATAGCTCTCTCGCTCTGACAAATATAAACCTCCTACTGTATTTGTCTCAAGCTATTCTTTTTGTTTGTTTGAACAGTTGATTTATTTATTTTTAATTGTGGTGGATTAGAGCAAAAATGATATTTTTAATCACTAAAATCAAAACTGATTCAATCAAAAACCTCAACACAGAAACCGTTAAAGCTGCCGTCCCTTTATTTTATGTTTGTTAGGATATTATTATTATTATATATCATTTGTGTTACTTATGTATGTCTATAATGCAACTCTGACTAATAATAATGCGACGTATTGGGCACTGATGCATTATACAACTCAGATTGTTTTAAATATTAAATATTGTAATATTTTGTTATAGGATATTAACGGAAACTAAAAAGAAATATGCATATGCAAAATTTTAACATGCAAAAACACTGCTATTTTATGATTAATTCAAACTAAGAAAAGTAATTTTTCATGCAGAATTTTGACTTTGACATTTCACTTTTGACTTTATTTAATTTTTTATGATTCCAGTTCACTTCTTTATGAGTTTTTAGAACTAAATTTCAGCTAAAATGTCACTCTAAAATCATCCACAATGTGTTAACAGACTTTATTATTAGGTCTTTTGAAGCAGCCAGAATGGGTCGTACTGGTAAACATGTTCATGCTGTGGGAATGTGAGACACCTACCCCCTGTGACCTACTGGGTGGCACATCATAGAGGTCCTGCTGGTTGTGCTGGCCTGGGCTGAAGGTGTAAGACTGTCCCACTCTGGTCGGGGTCACCACCTGTCCGATCACAGCCGGGGGAGGAAGGGGGGGGAGGGAAGAGGGAAGAGGGAGAGAGAGAGAGAGAGAGAGAGAGAGAGAGAGAGAGAGAGAGAGAGAGAGAGAGAGAGAGAGAGAGAGAAAAGAGAGACAAACAATCAGAGCTGCTGTCTAAAAAAAACGACACCTGGGGCACAGCAGTGTTCAAGACAAATTACAAACACACTCCTCCTGCCACCCAGCTCTCTGTACATCTGTCCTCCATTTTTTTGTCCTATTTTCATCCCCGGTCCTCGAGTGACCCCGGGACAGTAAGTGATTGCAGTCGAGGGAGATATTTTCTGGCAACAGAGACGGACCAACATCCTCCCTGATTCAGGCTGTTTGTTAAGGACCCAGGAAAAAAAGAGATAAACAGAAACCTGGAGCTACAGAACAAAGTCTTTAAGGGGGGGGGGGGGACCTGGTTCGAGTCCAACCTGGAACCAATTTCCTGTCAGCTCTGTATTGTATAATAAAGGTAAAAATACCTATAAAATACAGATTATTCGATAAATTAATCAGTTACTTGTTTTGTTCATCGATAAATACAATGATATAGAACAGATGAGAGGCTGAAATAAGCAAATGTTTGTTGCATTTTTGCTTGAAGAACGATTGACTGAAACTGGGACCAATAAGGGTCCTTGAATGGGTTGTAGGAGGTCCCCAGCAAAATTGACTGACTATAAAGACTTCATAATCTTTAAACCTACAAATAAATAAATCAAATAAATACTCAGAGGGAATTAGGACAAAATCCTCTCCGACTTTTTATTTGTACGAGGAAGATTGTGTTTGTAAAAGCTGAACTGTTAAGAGGAAGATAAAACACAATCCCACAGTCCACCTAATATATAAACCAAATAAAACATAAAACTAATGTGGTTCAGTTGAGCAATTAAATGAGCAAAAGTAAAACTTTGTGAAAACATTTAAACCCATACTTGATAGCTAGCATAGACTTCATCTGAATGGAAGATGTTTTATGATTAAAAGAGTTTTATCGTAGGGGACTGGCTGGATTGTGGAGGTTTTTTTTGTAAATCCAGAGAATCTCAGAGCCTGGAAAAGTAATCACTGGGTCATTGATGCTGATGAACAACCTTGTTATAAAAACTCAGGCATTTCGTGCTGTAGGATTTAATACACCTTTAAAATATTTTACACAGTGGTGCAGACAGGCTCCAGAATAATGGCGGAAACAAACACAAACTTCCTGTCACATTTTTTTAAATCACATTTTTCCCATCAGTGCTAATCAGTCCCTCCACACCTCCTCCCCCCAGTGTTTCCAACCCCCCCCCATTAACAGTCATACAACCTAAAAGCAGACCTCCTTGCTGCGTCAGCCAGACAGGAATGCTGGGAATGTCCTTCCCTGAGCCCTCTCCTGCCCTCACGCACCAGCATCGCCACACCGGAGCGAGCAGGGTTCACTAACAGGGCTCGAAAATAGGAACCATACACATGGCTTCCTGGCAGATGGGGGGAAAGTCTCCAGGGAGGTGCAAGACTTTAGTCCCGGTTTTTCCACTCATGACTCGCCGTATAGCCAAGTTAAATATCCTAATACCATCTCTCGTACTGTGGAGACGTTGATGGGAGCGTGAGCAGCGGGAGCCGTAACCTTCGGCCAGCTCAGGATGGGATTAATGTTTCTGAGGAAGCAGCAGAGATGGAGAAGAGGAGGGGGTTTGTAAAAAAAACAAAAAGAGAGATTTATGAAAAAAGGTAACAGAGGTGGAAGAGTGGAGGGAGGGGAGGAACGGAAAATAGTCGCCTAGTATGGAAAGGAATGCCATTCATCTGAGCCGGAGTCTGACTAACGGTAGTCCATATGGTTCTCATAAGTCCCATCTGAACAAGCCTGTGGTGATTTAAGGTGTTCATTGTTGGCATTCCTGTCCGTGCATACATCATCCCAACAGGGCCTGTGGGGTCAGAGCTGAAACACACACCGTGGGCTTTAAACGCCTCAGGAATAAACCAGCAGAGGAATAAATAGCCTCGCTGCTCTGGGCTCTTGTCACGCACTGTCGCTCGCACACTTCAGGCTGTTGAAGAAAGACGTTCTAGCTACTATGAGTAATTGGTTCATATGATCCAGATCAGGGAGGTTTCAAAGTCCCTTATTACTGTCAAAGAAATATTGAAAAATGTTGATATTAATGGATTATGTAACTCCTGTATTTCTTTTCTTCTATCCTCTATTTAGGCTCTAGGTTTTAAAGCTTTAAAAGGAGTAAAAAGAAGTATAAAGTTGCCCTTTAGTCAGTTTACTACAGTAGCTGAGTAACATTTTGTCACCATTAAAAGTAGGCAGATTTAGCTATTAGTAGTTCCCGTTTGCAGTTTACCCAGAAAAATACAGACAACTATCACGGGATAACTTCAATACTGAAGAAAACTTTAAGACAAGAGGATCCTGAGGCAAGTTCTGCAGTCTTTTGGATTTATGGTTGTTTATTTGAGATAATGATATCCTTGGGAAGTGCACGCCACACAGAATCTAAAACTATGCGTATCATTTGTGTGTGTGACTGAGTTATGACTCCGACGAGGAATATGAATGTCGATGCTCATTTCTGCAATTGGGCCGAATTATAATAAATAAAGGTTTTTCAGAGTACAATATGGGATTTCAGCTGCTCTCACATTAACATTAACATTAACAAAAGACGCAGTTTGATGACTTTGTCCATCGTTCAGGAAGTTTTTACCGGGTGCCAAATTATCCGTAGAGGTCTCCTCCTCTCCAAAACAAACAGATCCGGTGATTAAAAACCAGTAGAAACACAGAATAAAGTAGTTTCACCTAAAAAATTTGTGTTTTTCAGATGTTTGGCAGACAAAGGATGTTCCAGAGGGGCTGCGAGCCGAGCTGCTGCTAACGTTAGCTCAGCTTGTTTCTCTGATAACTTAAGATCCAGATGTCCGATGACTAAAATCCTTCATCTGGTTAAAAACAACCGAGATCTAAAAAGTGTATCATATAAATGTGGCTTAAAACTGCATAAAAACTGCCCAACAACCATGTGCAAAAGAGATATGACTTTGACAGGACATAAAAATTATAGACTTCTCCGAGTTTGAACATTGTTAGAAACATTTGGGATAATATAAGTACACAACTCCACAAAATATATAACATAAATCTAGTGTTTATAGACATTTTAATGTCGGAAATGTTACATATTATATCTCCAAGTACCTCAGTGCTTGTTGAATGTTTTATTCTCACTGTTTGCTGAATAAAAATGTGTTAAAGTTTAAAAAAAAGACAGAGGCTGTAACCAGACACAGCAGAGAGGGAGCTCGCCTTTCACTTAGTAACAACAAAGTGATGCTTGGTAAAAGGTCACTGAAGCCCGGCTGCTGCTCCCTGCGGGTCGAGCCTGCGTGCTGACGATAAGGGGACGTCTGGCCTCATCTGTCACATGCAGATGGCGGCGAGGTGACTGTCAAAAAACCTCAGTGACCTTTCTTCCACAGGTACGTGTCATCGCTTTGAGTAGCACTCGTCCCATCAGTGGCTCCCCTCAGCCGCTGCCAGATGCACACTGCTCATTTATTTCCCATCTCCGCCCTCTGTTTACCCAGCAGGCTGTTGCTCCGCGGCCGCCCGGCGCTGCTGTAATTGCTGGTGGGTAAATATTTACAGCGCCCAATGAGGTTGGCGCTGGCGTGGTTGGCGATGGCAGCCCTTTTTCAGAGAGTGATGACATCATGAAGAGCCGGGGCGACTTGAGCAAACATTTGTTCCCACTCAGGTGATAGGCTCTCAAGATTCCTTCATGGAGGAGGCAGAGCGCCTAAAGAGGGATCAGGTTTAAACTAGTGCCCCGAGGAGCCAAACAGATGCCTTGTTAACGCTTCTACGCGTTACGGCGAGTGACTCATGGGTCCTTCAGCAATGCTGTGTTTACTTAGCATCCTGGCAGGCTCAGGTTTTGGCAGGTACGACTTTTCAGCTTTACTTCGGAGTCATTTGAGAGGTGTCGTCATAACATCAACAACTACCTCATCAGCTTGTTATACGCTCTCTTAGATTTATGTTCTGATGAGCTGTTGCTGCAGAGCTCAACGGTAATAAGGAATTATTGTTTAGCAACTCTCTGCAGAATCTGATTGTGATGATATGAGCCTATTTCAGGCCTCCTCAGACTCTCTCAGGGTTTTTTTTTCTTGACAATACAGTACAGCACTTGCTTGGTTTCAGGCAGATTGACTACATGAATTTGGCCCCAGCACATCAGTAACAGTTCAAATCAAGTAGAATTTATTTCATTTTACGGAAAATTAATCTTCTAGAAAGTACAATTAACATCACTGTGCATGTATTTATGAACCACAGCAACAAGAAATTGGACCAATATTAGGCTGTATGCATGTAGATAAGAGAATTTCGCCCACAGCTCTGGAAAAATAGACTTGTTCCACTTTGTATCCGGTGAACCTGCTGTGAAATATCAGTTTATCACAACAACAGTCGAATTTCAAACAAAAAACATACTCAGGTCTTTATATATGTAATCTGAGTGAGGGGCTTTCATGACTGGAAAACTTGCCTGTAATTTTCCAGGACACGTGGGAACGCTGTATTATTGTTCTGAAACACATCACTCAGATCCTTGCACTAGCAAATAACTGATTTTGGTTTACTTACTACTGAAGTAGAGGCAAGCTTTTATGCACCAAATATCTGCAAGATATTTCCAGAAAACTGCTCCAACACTTAAATCAGAGCACTATTACATAATGTGTTTCAGCCTTTTTATGTCTCTCGTTGTTGAAATGTGCAACACAAACACAACCTGCATCGCCTTACAACTCAAATGACTGATTCTGAGCTGTAATTGCTCTGACACGCATTTGCAAAACATAAAAACAGATGACAAATTAGATAAAGAAACCCCGAAACAAACAGTAGATGCTTCCACTCAGACACAAGTTGAAAGGTTTGAGCATGAAAATGATGA